GATGTAACTGAACACAAAATAAAACTTTGTACAGGAATAGCACACACCAACTTTACAAAATACACATGAGAATTTCTTTGTTATAAGTTTGTGTGCCAAAAACCAAAAAAAACACAATTTTACTCCAATATTTAGCAGAGGTTGGCAGTGAAATGGCTACGTAGAAAGTGTAGAAAGTGAATGTAAATCTCATAAAAAACAAAGTGCAAAAAAATTGATTAAATGACTGTATGAATAAAGAGTGAAAAAAGCATGTATTACTTACATCAAAGTAAATAATAGTAGGTATATCCGTCAGACTACAAATTATTGTGAATCAATATTGGAATATATTACAGTCGGATCCCAAAGTTAGGAGTTGTTTTAATGAGAAACCTTTGTTCTCTTTCAAAAGATACAAAAATCTTCGCGATCATTTGATGCGGAATGTGGAAGTCCAAGGAAAGATGGAGATTAAGGAATCGTGGCTTAGAATGCCTGTTGGTATGTATAAGTGTGGACACTGTGTGAACTGTAATGGGGTAATTCAGGGTGATTCCTTTCTTCATCCAAGATCTGAGAAGAAGTATCCCATTCGGGACTTTTGCAATTGTCAAACAGAATTTGTAGTCTACATGTTGAAATGTTCTTGTGGCCTAGCTTATGTTGGGGAGACCACGAGGAAATTTACTACCAGGATAATGGAGCATAAGAGTGGTATTCGGACTGGCAAGATCCAGTATCCAGTAGCTAGACACTTCATAGAAATGCGGCATACTGTATCAAAATTGAGATATTTGATTCTGGAAGTAGTGAAACCTCTGAGTAGAGGGGGATCAAGGGAAATGTTATTGAAACAACGAGAATTATTTTGGATTTATGAATTGCAGGTTTTATTTCCTAAGGGTCTTAATGAAGAACGTGATCTTTCTCCTTTGTTATAGCCTCTTTTAGAGAGGCTGGTTAATCCACCCTGCCTGTGTGATAATTATATTGTTGATGTTGTTTTAATTGGTGTTTGTTTCATTTAGATCATTTAGTGTTATCCACTTGGATATTTAATATGGCTGGATGGACAACATATATTGGATTATGAATGGAGTGCAAGTCATTATTGGTGGTATCGGGTCGTTTCAAGTATATTCAATGACGTGGATGGAGCTGGTCGTGATTTGGGCTGCCCTACTGGACCTGTGACTGGACGGCGCCAATTCGATTTAATGAATTTTTTGTATACCAAGATTGGGAATGACTTGTATTTGTTGTTTAAAGAATATTTTTTGTCATTCAAGGGGGAGTGTTGTATAGGCATTGTAAGTGATGTTAGAAGTTGTATAATCGATTAGATTATTATTGGATATAGGGGGTTTGAGTATAGATACATTTGTCTGCTTTTGGATGATATATGAACTCTACTTTTGGATGATATATGTATTCTATTTTTTACCTTTGATTGCCCAATAAGTTTTTGGATGCATGAATGAATGAAATAAACACTTGTTTTTGTTTAGTATTTTACACTTTTTGGTGTTTGTTTTTATGGTGGTGGTTTTTTTCACTACTCAGTATTAATATTGTCTTGCTATACTATAGGACCTCTTGTGTACTCACATTTGCTTACATTATGGGTACCATGTATATATTGGTGAGTATCGCTTTATGAGTGGGGTTGTGTTTTATTTAGTGAGACTTACATTTTGGATATTGGGCGTGTAACGAAATCCCTTATTTACAGACCATGCGAACAAGCCTGTTCGGTTATTTGGAGGATTACAGCGGGATTTCGTGAAAATAGCCATAAAAGCGAATAAACTACCGAACCACCGACCTCCCACTGAGGTCTTGTGGTGCCTATTGACCACCCTGACTGTTGCGGTTAACCACAGACTAATTGGGGAATAGCTGGTGGTCCGCGTTCGTTTACCGAACACATGGCAATCGCCATTTTGTATTGTCGAACGCGCAGCGGTAAATGGCGAGGATTCCCTGGAACTGATTTTGGCTACTTATTTTGTCGAACACTGCTGCTACCTGCTACCTCCTCGTTCGTACGGTGGAAAAACACACGAATGAAGGGGATACTACTTCATTCGTGCGCTGAAAGAATGCAAAAGTGACCGACCTCAGATAGCTATAGTATGGAACTGGCAGTCGGCTACAAACACACGAACGGCCGGTGAAAGTCAAACTTCAGTCGACGATTCTGAGAACTGTGTTCGTGGGATCTGAGCGCTATTCGCTTAGAATATGCCCTCAGATCCAAGCTATCTGGGGATATGTGGAACTTAAAGTTTATGTTGTGTAAAAAGAAAGTTATAGATTTTTATTCTGTTTTGCTGAAATAAGAAAAGCCATGTTTCTTTCTTCCTGGAGATAATTAAGGCTCTCTTTGCTACCTTAAGTTAATTATCTCCAGGAAGGAAAAGAGGGAGTGATTTATGTAAAAGGGGAGTGCTTATGCTATAGCCACTGTGATTGGCTACTGTGATACTTTTGTCCCAGTCTTCCATCTGGTCCCCTAGGGGAGTGTCCACCAAGTGGGAGACCTGCATAAATACCGGGCGGGTAGCCCACAGTAAATCAGATCGTTTTACCCCTTCATGAAGTCTCGACTCATGTTTGGGGGATTGGGAGTTATAATCACTTAGTTTCAGCTGGATTTCGGGAGAAGCTGCAAGGATCATTGCTGCACGAATAGAAGGATCCTTTACAGGGCGCATGCGCGAGCGGCGCGGCTTTTTTGCCGCGATATTTTGTTATATTTGGATTATAGAGGCTTCCGTAGGGGAGCAATTTACATATATTTTTGTGCTATGTGCATGCGCGAGCGGCGTGGACTTTTTTAGCCGCGATTCTTCTAGTGTTGCATCATGGAGGCTTCCGTAGGGGAGGAGCTATTGAAGATAATTAGCCGTCCGCGGGAAGGTGATTATTACCTCGTTTCTGCTTATGAGTTGTTCTCTAACCTGGTTTGTTTACTGGGTTTATAGTAGAATATAATGATTATTAGTTTGGGGAGAGGTTATAGCATTTGCCAATAGACAATATGGCGATCGTTGGTAGTTACAAGTGCGCATGTGCGCGGCATTTATGTTAATAAGGACATCTAGTGATGTATATACTATATGATAAAAGTAAGTCTGCATAAATATGGGAAAATTTAATTATGTTTAACACTGTAAATATATGGTATACATGTTAGAATTATGTACACAGGACTGTGACTTGAAGTGATGATGTCACTTCCGGTCCCGGTCCTCCGTGGTATTGCTGATGGCCATCAGCTGTAAGTTATTTGTGTTTGTACATGTGGGTATATAAAGGGGGTCCTGGATAATGTTATGATATACCCTTGATAAAGGCCACCAGGAGGAGCCGAAACGTTGGGGGATTGTTTTTGACTCGTGTTTCTGCCCAGATAGGCTTGTGGAATTTGGTAAATATACCTGTTTAGTTGTTTAGCCTATGTGGTCACTATTATATTATATATTGTATGTATTTTCTACACTTGTATTGCAATAAATATATATGTATAGATAGATACTAGTGTATCAGTTGGTGTGCATTATTTAAAAGTTGCACTACTGAAGGCAACAGAAAATTGCATTAGGCTTGTCAGTAAAAGCAAAAAATTCAAGAAACCACTGTGGTACTCTGCAGATGTGGCCAAAATAGTTAAAAACAAAAAGTTAGCATTTAGTAATTATGAAAAAAAACAGAGTGAGGAAGACAAAATGATCTATAAGATTAGCAGAAAGAGACTAAACAAGTTATAAGAGCTTCCAAATCACACACAGAAGAGGAAATAGCACAGTCAGTAAAAAACGGGGACAAAACTTTTTTTAGATACGTAAATGAGAAAAGAAAAGTAAAACAAGGCTAAATTAGATTAAAAACAAAAGAAGGAAGGTATGTAGAAGAGGATAAAGGTCTAGCTGACTGCCTCAATTAATATTTTTGTTCTGTATTTACAGATGAAAATGAAGGAAAGGGACCTCAGTTAAAGGACCACTATAGTGCCAGGAAAACATACTCGTTTTCCTGGCACTATAGTGCCCTCAGGGTCCCCCTCCCGCCCGGCTCTGGAAGGGGGAAAGGATAAATAACTTACTTTTTCCAGCGCTGGGCGGGGAGCTCTCCTCCTCCTGGGCTGAATGTGCACGCGCGGCAAGAGCTGCGCGCGCATTCAGCCGGTCACATGGGAAAGCATTATCAATGCTTTCCTATGGACGCTGGCGTCTTCTCACTGTGAAAATCACAGTGAGAAGCACGCAAGCGCCTCTAGCGGCTGTCAATGAGACAGCCACTAGAGGCTTTGGGGGAAGGCTTAGCCCATTCATAAACATAGCAGTTTCTCTGAAACTGCTATGTTTATAAAAGAATGGGTTAACCCTAGCTGGACCTGGCACCCAGACCACTTCATTAAGCTGAAGTGGTCTGGGTGCCTAGAGTGGTCCTTTAAGAAAGGACCTCACTGGTAGCCATTGTCCTGGGCTTATTTCAATATGCAACCAATCACTGTTCTTAAAGGTGGGCTTATCCATGTGCAGCTCAAATGCTTGTCATTCCTCCACTTATTCCATTCTCAGGAAACCACTCAAAAGTAAAAAGCAAAAAAAAAAAGAAAACAAATTCATGCAGCTTGCCAAATCTAGTAACATGTCCTTTTTGGTTATGCATTCTAAGACCTGTGTAAGTAAATCCTCTGTCAGGCAATATCTTAAGAAATGTTAATCTTACAAAAAATATATGCTGTCCTGTGTAATGCTCAGCGATTCCTTATTACCTTTTATTTTATTTTTACTATTTGTTTATTTTTGTCACTTCCTCTGTGGTCGCGTCATCGGAAGTGAGCAGGGTAAGGAAATTCCTTCCCAGCGTGTGTCAGTGCTCTCGGTCCTCTGTGTTTCTCAGCTCCGAGCCGGCCATAATACAAGCTATCAATCTGTGTGAGAGATCCCACAGGCTGAGTTTGCCGAACCGTGTTATCAGCCAGGCTCGGAGCCCGCCGTTATCTGCCAATGGCAGGACCTCAGATGGAGGACAGCGCTCTGGACATGGTGACATGTGAAGATGATGGCGAGGATGAGGAAGGAATACAGAATGGAGCGGAGGAAGATGAAGAATGTCAGGAGATCATCGAGCCAGCAGAGGTGAAAGCAGAGCCTGCTGAACAAAGTGACAGATTGACCCCCCAGGAGGAGGAAATGGAAGAAGAAGCTGAAGCTTGCGCTGTGGAATCTGGTATTTTATTCTGTGTTAAAAATGCTCCCCATGTTAACCCCCTTAAGGCTTCTTTTTACAGGTGTGCAGGACATTGAGGACCAGAGCAAATTTGGGATTTACTGTTTGCTTTGTATGGTTTATTATTATTATTATTATTATTATTATTATTATTGTACTTATTTTAAAAGCAGTTAAAGGGACTTTAGGCAGCATAGCTACTAGTGCACACTGTACTGGCTAAAAAGGCTTAGTGCCATCCCCTGGTTTAATGGCTTAGTAAAAAAAAGCACGTGTTAGCAGAGAGTGTAGGGCAAACATATTCTCAACCCATATTAAATGAGACACTGGAACTTCTGCTTAAGGTATATGTAAAGAGGAGGTTTTCCCAGACAATGGAGACCCAGGTAAGGTCCAAACCATTTGAAAATGATTTGATGCTATTCTCTGGAAAGGGTCCTCTTTGTACTTGTACCACATTCTGAGTAAATGTGGTGCTTAGACTTTCCATTTAAAGGAACACTTTAAGCACTGAAGACTCCCTAGTATTTGAAGCAGCACTTTAACATTACAGCTGAAGTTCAGTATAGTGGTTATGGCAATAGGAGTGGCCTGGCAAGTTTGACTATTTACAGTGGGGTTTTTTACGTGCATTCTTTGGGGTTGGATGAAAAAAATAGCTTGCAAAAGCGGCAGACTTTTCAACTGCAACCTTTGCAAGCCCTCCCTCTTCTCTTTTCCTATTCTTAGAAAGTATTGTTATGCATAAAATGAGAACATTTTTAGGATAAAAACATATTGCCTTATTATAAATCAAATGTAAGAACCCATATTATAGATTCAAAAAGCACAGTGGCGAGCTACAGCATTAATTAGCTACAGCATTAATTAGAATAAAATATATTTTAGTTGTAAAAGGCTAAAATATTTGGACCTGTTTGCAAACTGTGGTATGTGGGTATGTACGTATACCCAGTTTAAACAGCTGTCAAACTGCTTTTTGGTGAACTGTTTGTGTCGTTTCCCCCTTCCCCCCCCCCATTAGAAATAGTGAATTGGTTTCAGAAAGTTGGCAGTAGTCTGTCTATGCTAGGCCTGGCTGTGCAGAGAAATCCATGATGCTGTCCGCCTATGACGTAGCTCTGCACTGCTTAGTTTACAAAATCCATTAGGGCATACAGCTGTAATCTAAGTAATATGCAACATAGTGTTATCTAATTTACCATCGATATTTCACCGCTATATAATTGATCTCACAGGAGATAGTAGTGTATCAGACCGTGAGGAATCAGGCAAGGCCTAGATAGAACAGGGACGTGTGAGGGGGAGTGTATATATAGAATAGTAAGGAGGTCTTTGAATGGTGGCATTTTAAGGGGCAAAGGGGTAGGTTAGTATAAATAGGTAGGCAGCTTACAGGACAGCAGCCATCTTAATTATCAGTTGGTAATTGCGTGGAAGTTGCTTCCTAGTGTACCTGCTTGCCAAGTGCTGTTTTTGACCAGGGTCTCAGTATGGACGAGGCTGTCTTTTCTGCCCTCAGGGCTGAGGCGTTACAAGATGGGGGTGTGCACCTGCAGGTTCAGCTAGCTTGTCTGCAGGCCTTCGTGGTGATTGCCACCTCCCCGCTCGGTGGTCGCGGGGGTTCCTGGAGGCGAGCTCGGCCACCTGAACGTTTCACCCCGCCTGGGGAGCCTACGGGCTCTCCTGGGCTCAGCAGCGCAAGCCTGGCCTTGTGGATCCGTTGGTCTGTGGCCGCAAGGCTTCTTTAACGTCCACCGCGGGCTCCAGTTACTAGCTGGGCGTCGGGGCAGTCCGCTGCATCCCGTGCCCATTTCCAGTCTCCCTCCCCAACCCCTTGCAAACCGCGGCCCAAAAATGTGATGTGAATCAAGCCCCTATAACTGAGAGCAACCCAATCATAGTAATCCTGCGCTCTCTAAACTTGGCCAATAGGGTACATTAACGATGCATATAGATATAAATGTTGTCACTATCAAATGAGTATAAACCGGGATATATTATAAACCCATCATTGATCTAGATACAATAGTACTCTTTGGTAATTACTAAGTATTGACACATCAAGATGAACCAATAAAATAAAAAGCCCTAAAGGATCATTAGAGTTAGAATAAGTAAACAAACAAAATATGACTCTCTATAGACTAAAGTAATAGATACATCTCACTGGATACCCCCAAAGCAGTTCGATTTGAACTGTCTGCGATAAGTATTGATGTGGACTAAATATCCCAATAAGTAAAGGGAATATGAGGAGTAAGTAAGTATAATTCAAAAGTAGCCTTTATGAAGAATCTGTAGTTAATGTCACGTATATGTTCCGCTTGTGATCGTACATTATTGTATTCTGTATAAACACATGTGATGGCTAAATCTTAAGGAAAAGGGTGAAAAATAGAACGTTTACGTTCAGTTTAATACAGGGCTCGACAAATCCCAGGCTCCAGGTTGCCATGGCGTCTGGGATTTGTCTGCCTTTTACCTAAAGTGGTCGGCTGGGCAAACAATGGAGCATGGAGGCGGCCAGTTCAGGAAGATGTATAGCCGCCCGCTCGTGGGAGTTATGTAGCCAGCAGGCTGGGGCAGTGCGCGGGAGCGTTGTAGCCGGCTATCCTGGGAGGTATGGAGGCGGCCGGCTAAGGAAGTTGTGTAGCCGGCCACCCCCGGTAGCATAGAGGCAGCCAGCTTAGGGAGCTTTGTAGCAGTCTGCCTGCCTGCCCGAAGTATGGAGGCGGCAGGCTGGGGCAGCGTGCGAGGGAGCAGTCTTCCTGCAGCTCCTCTCTGCTCCTTCGTGCTGTGTAATGATGCCGGGAGCCGGAATATGATGTCATTCTGGCTCTGACATCACTGCAGACAGTGTAAGTGAGCAGAGAGGAGCTGTAGGAAGATCACTGTTGCCTCTCACACAGGAATAGCAGCCCCACTGGATCCCAGGGCAAGTCCACTAAGCTCTCCCAAAGGTATGGAGGCTGGGTGGATTAGAATTAAAAATATAAGTGTGTGTGTATATTAGGGATCGACCGATTATCGGTCTGGCCGATATTCCGGCAATATCGGTATCGGCAAATAGAGATGCCGATAATACATACCAGGAGCGCTGGGCCCATGACAAGCCCGGTGGTCCTGGAGGGCCCACAGCAAGCTCGCTCTTACCTTCAGCTCCCCGTGTAAATCTCGCGAGTTCCGCGGCCGTCAGTGGTGCCACGGGTTACTATGGCAACACTTCACGTGGCACACTGGCAGCAGAGCTGCTGGGAAGAAAGCGCTTGCTGGGCCCCCACTGCACACTCCATTCCACCGGACCACCAGGGAATGCTATATCCCCCCTCCCTAGCCAGCTAAGAAGCAGTGAGGGGGGCTAAAAAAAAAAAAAATTTGGGATCAGCCTGTAGTGTTTTTCCACTTTAATTTTGAGTGTGACTCCAAATCCAGACCTCCATGGGTTGAAAAATTTGATTTCCATTCTTTAATTTTTGTGTGAGTTTGTTGTCGGCACATTCAACTATGTAAAGAACAAAGTATTTCAGAAGAATATTTTATTCATTCAGATCTTGGATGTGTTATTTTTGTGTTCCCTTTATTTTTTTGGTCAGTGTATATCCAGATAGTCTATAGATCTCGTACATTGCATGGCCAGCATATGTGTTCAAATATAGATGTGTGTGTATAAAAATACCTAACTAGCTAGAGCAGAAAAATAATACTTAACTGTTAGAATAAAAAATCGATATTGTGAAAAGAATGGAGTCCACAAGTTGTATACATACTAGAAGATTACGGTACAGTCATGGAGTGAAGACCTATATTTATATATACTATTAGTATTGAAAAAAAATAAGGGTATAAACATTTTATAGAATAAACTTAATACTAAATAAGTTAAATATGATACTGATTATAGAAGCTTCCTATAATCAGCAACAAATGAGTTTGGGGGGCACTCCTTTCGGATAGAGGCTGCCACTGAGGCATCACGCCGGGGGTTGTCTGAGGAAGTTATCCAACAGATCGGGAGGTGGGAACCTAGGAGGTTCTGCTTTTATGTTCTTCCAGTTGGACCGATTCTGTTTTCCCTTTTGTCTCCTTAGGTGCCAGAAGGCGAGTGTGGGTCATCGGCCAGTCCTACATTTATTGGGCACAACAGCGGGCTGAAGTTCATCCCGGGGGACTCCAACTTGGTCTGTCGCCGGCGGTGGCAGAGGTCCGTTGGTTCGGTTCCCGGGGTATGCGGTGGAAGCACCTGTTGCCTGAAATGGTCCGGTTGGCTCGCTTATTCGGCGTTCCTGATGTGCTCTTGATTCATCTGGGGGGGAGCGCTCTTGGCACTATTCCGGTGTGGGATCTAGGTACTATGATCCTGGAGGATTTGGCAGAGTTATGGCTTAAGTTCCCCGGGCTTTGTATAGTTTGGTCCGAGGTGCTATCCCGGAATTATTGGAGTGGTGCAAGGGACCCCAGGGCTCTTGAACGGAGCAGGATCAAGCTGAACAAGCGTGTTTCTAAATTTGTGAAGAGAATGGGGGGGGTCACAGTGCGTCACCGCATGTTTGAGCAAAATGCAGCAAAGTATTTTAAGAGTGATGGAGTCCGCCTGACGGAAGAGGGTCTGGATTTGTTTAATCTGGCATTGCAGGGTGCGTTGGAGGAGGCCATGGCTTTGGTGTCTGGGCAGCCCTGCTGATTTAGGGGGTAAACCAGCGTGTCTTGTGGCGGTATATGGCCCTTGTCAACTGTAGTTTGGATCAGTGGTCCGTGGAAAGTAGATGGGTAGGGCTGTCCCTCCCCTAACCTCAGGTACAGTTATGGATAATGGACGTGCCCAATGAGCCAATAATCGGCTAGTGGTTAGCATTACGAGAATGGATGGCCCATGAAAATGCTTTGTGCTGGTTGGAAAGAGGGGAAAGGGAAGCTGCCTTAAGTTATGTTTTTGGTTGGCAAGGTGGTACTCAGTGATGGATATTCTAATGTTTTATGTTATAAAGTTGAAGTTTAAAGATTTCTATATTTATATTTTAATAAAGCTGTGGCTTATTTACTCCAAAAGCAAGTCTGTGGTTGTTTATTTCGGGCAAGAAGTGGTTGGGGGTTATGCCCATACACATTTACCCTCTACCTACGCACAAGCATTTTAAGGTGCCTCCACCGATGTATTGGCGTCTTGCACCGGTAGCACGCCCAATAACTTCTGTCTGACTCTGCTCCAAATAGGGACTTCAACAGGGTAGAAAGATGTAGCAAAAATTTTTTATTAGAGAGGATAATAAAATCTACCGTCCAACGTGCTTCTTCCTTATAGGATTTCAGGGACCATCAATAAAAGCAACAATCAAAACAGCTGACATAACCCTCCCCTCCCGAGTTCCTGTTTAAATAGAGCAGAACCTCTGATTCCATTGGTTTTTGGTTGGGTATGTGTTGCCATGCGTCGGACAGTAGATATCCTTTTTTTATTTTTGCCACAACTTTTTATTTCGTTGATGTCCTTTGTGGAGCACACAGAGGGTACTGCAGAATATTTGTTAAAGGGACACTCCAGTGCCAGGAAAACAAACCGCTTTCTGCCACTGCAGGTACCCTCTCCCTCCCACCACCCATCCCATGTTGCTGAAGGGGGGAAAACCCCTTCAGTGACTTACCTGAGACCCCCACCCACGTTCCTCCCCCGCCGACGGCATCCGCGCGCGCATTAGACCACTCCATAGGAAAGCATTGAAAATGCTTTCCTATGGGGAATTAAGCGACGCTGAAGGTCCTCACATAGCGTCCAGAAAACCTGTGCTAGAAACCAGGAAGTGTCCTCTAGAGGAGGAGTTAACCCTGCAATGTCATTATTGCAGTTTATGAGAACTGCAATATTTACAGCTGCAGGGTTAAGGGTAGTGGGAGTTGGCATGAAGACCACTCCAATGGGCAGAAGTGGTCTGGGTGCCTGGAGTGTCCCATTAAATTGTTTTGCGCTGTTTTTTTTGTTTTGTTTTTTATCCTTGTAGAATTCAGCTGTAACTGGATTTTGTATACTATTGTTTGTGGGAAGGAGTTTTTGTCAAAGTCCCATGGGGCAGCTGCTTTTGACTCCTTCACACCAGCAATAATTACACGTTAAGTCTTTATTTAGTATAATCCTGTTGGTGTATAATGTATACTATCGTGAAAAAAATGTAAAACTTTAGTGTGAAAATTTGTGGCGCTTATTTCTTATTGTAGTGATTTTATTTTATTTATAGCAGCTGAAGAACACTCTGTGGGTACTCCAACTAACTCACCAACCATAAAATATGTTAAATGTGCGCCCTGTTTTAGGTGATATACCCCTAACGTATAAGGTGCCGAGTGCAGCGCTTCAATATAAATATAGGGACTTACCCTCAAAAAATGTAACCGTTATGGACATGTAAATAAATACAAGGAGAGAAAAAAAGTATTTTGGTGTAGCATGTAAGTAAATATTTAAAATCTACAACTCAGACCACCTCTACTTGTTAGCAATGAGGACACACCCCAAATCAGGCACCAGCGCTTCTTTCATTTACATGGACCATATTGGGAACTCCTGATAAGAATGTTCCTTGAAGAAAGGTTATTGCTTGCTAAAAAGCACAAGAGGCTACAGAGTTTAGAGCCTGTACCCTGAAAAGGCTCTACACATTGTGAGTTAATTTTCACTCACCATTTGTGTGTTTAAATATTCACTTACATGCTACAGCAAAACACTTTTTTTTTCTCTCCTTGTATTTATTTACATGTGTCCATAACGGTTAAATTTTTTGAGGGTAAGTCCCTATATTTATATTGAAGCGCTGCACTCACACTTTATATGTTAGGGGTATATCACTTAAAAATAGGGTGACATATATTTTATGGTTGGTGGGTTAGTTGGAGTAGCCACAGAATGTTCAATTATTTTTGGTTTGAAAATATATTTATTTTCTACAGACATGTGGTACTGCCATGGGAACCAGGTTTGCACCCAGTTATGCCAATCTTTTTATGGCATTTTGGGAGTTATCCTATATAACACATAGTAACTGGGGTGCAAACCTGGTTTCCTATAGGCCATACATAGATGACATCTTTTTAATATGGAAAGGTCCAGAAGAAGGTTTGAATGAGTTTTAAAATTCTAATAATTGGGGTATAACCCACACCACGGATTTTAGTAACAGAAATTTTAATTTTTTAGATTTAACTTTATATAGAAGGGAACTCTATTTAAAAAAACAAACAAAAAAAAAACATATTTTAAACCAGTTGATGCCAACAATTATATTCACCTTAAAAGCGGTCCCTTCTCCCCTTGGTTACAAAACATACCCAAGTCACTGTTTCTCAGAATATGTAGAAATGCACAGACCAAAAAAACCTTTGAAATTCAGGCAGAGTTAAGTCAATTTATTGAGAAAGGATATAGGATATTTTAACAAACACTATAAAGACAATCAAAAATCAGAACAGAGCCACTTTTCTAGAATATAAATCTTAAAAAAATAAAAAAGGAAAAAAATAGAGATGCCTTTTATCTGTAATTTTAGCCAAGAAAATAAAAAAGTGTGAGACATCATAACCAAATTCTGGCCTATTTTAAGAAGGGATCCAGCACTGTACAGTTTTTTGCCAGAACAACCAAGGATAGTTTTTATAGAAGCACCAAATTTAGGACGACAATTAGTACACAACCATAAAAAGGAGAATTGATCGAAAACCTTCCTACATAAAGCTGTTTTTTGCTGTGGTCTATGTACAGCTTGTAAAAGTACAGGAAATGTGAAAGAAAATACATATAGAAACACTCACAAATCCACAAGACAATATGGAGTATAAAATTAAGACTATGACTACGTGCTATTCTAAGAATGTCATTTATCTTTTAATGTGTACTTGTAATTTATTGTATGTGGGAAGATCCAAGCGCCATCTACATACAAGAATTAATGAACATGTGAGGAATATCAAAAAAGGATATGAGCAACACAATCCATCACTACATTTTAAACATTACAGCGATCCCCACTTCCTTCAATCTTTAGCGATAAAAAAATTGATATTAACTGGAGAGGGCATGATTTAAAAAAACTAGGAAAAAATAAGATGAAATGTTTTTTTAATTTGAATACTCTCAATCCATTTGGCCTGAATGTGGATTTTGAGCTATGCCACTTTATATGGTTCATTTTTTTTAAATAGCATTTACCGTATTTTTCGCTCCATAAGACGCACTTTTTTTCCCCTCAAAAGTGAGGGGAAATGTCTGTGCGTCTTATGGAGCGAATGTGAAGATTTACTTACCTGTCTTGGAGCGTGGGCCGGCTTCACAGCGCGCTCCGCCGTCCAGGAACTTCTATTTCAGGTTCCGTTTCCGGCGGGACTGAAAGGAAGTGTGCACACTGAGTGTGCACTTCCTTTCAGTCCCGCCGGAAACCGGAACCTGAAATAGAAGTTCCTGGACGGCGGAGCGCGCTGTGAAGCCGGCCCACGCTCCAAGACAGGTAAGTAATTATGGGACAATGGGAGGGGGGGACACTATGGGATCAGAACACTAATGGACAAGGGTAGGAGGGGTTAAAGAACACTATGGGACAGGGAGGAGGGGTTAACAATCACTATGGGACAGAGGAAAGGGGGGTTAAAGATCATTATGGGACAGGGGAGAAAAAAAAATATTCTGAACAAACTGTCCCATAGTAAGAAACACTATGGAACAGTTTGTTCAGAATATTTTTTTTTCTGGGTTTCCTCCTCTAAAAACTAGGTGCGTCTTATGGTGAGGTGCGTCTTATGGAGCGAAAAATACGGTATTTTTTTACATATAATTTTTAATTATAGATTTTACAAATATTTAAACATTTGGGTTCAACATCATTTTACCAAACAGAACAAGCCAAAATAATATATAAAAATGTTCCAATACATTCGCATCGAGATCATTACTCAATCAAATAAATACAAATAACTGAAAAGTTAATATAATCCCAATATGAACTGTTTATCCCAATAAGTCAACAAGAGATTTATAATTCACACATAGTAAAACATAAATAATACATACAGTAACAGAAACAAAAATAAAAACAAACATAACATAAGGACAGCAACGGAGAACAAAGAGATGGGCGATACCAATATCATTTCTTTAATAGGTTAATTAAAGTCAGAACCATTTTCAGAGTAATACAGTCATCATTAACCAGAAAAAATAGTTATGCAAGGGTTACTTGTGAAGGAAACTCTATTCTTTATAGTAATCAAACCAGTTTGTCCTTATCTTATTATAGGCATCTATATTATTATCCTTAAAATATTTTGCTTTTTCCATTAAACCTTTGTATTGTATTTGAGCTTTAATCTCAGTTAGAGAAGGAGGTTCCTTCTGTTTCCACTTTTTGGCAATACATAGTTTAACGGCCATCAAACAATGTATAACCATATACAGAGGTCATTTAGCCATTTTTGGTAAGTCTCCATGAAATTTCTTTTTAATTTTTAGATATATTTTTATAAACATTTTTTTCTTTCTCTGCTCTATCCTACAAATTCTATCATTCCTCAAATTTTAATGAATTATATTTGTAATATATTTCTTAAATCTTTTTGTAATCATGTTTTGGCTAATTTTTATTTGTTCGACCAGTTCAAGATAGCAATTTCCTTCATCCACTACTTTAATACTAAAATATTTTTACAATATTTTCCTTCAAGTATAAGTTTTTATAACTTTAATCTTTGGTTTTATGAAAAATAAATTTTTTCATGACACATTTTTTATATGAACACATTTAGTAATTTTATATATACATACCTTTAAAAGAGAGCCCATATATATGAGTTAATAGTGATCATCACTATTTCAATATTTGTTTTAATATATGTACCATTAAGGAATATGTGTGAGTTATATTACGAATCATAGGATAGATGATAAATACATAATAGTAGTATACTAAGTAAATGGTTGATTTACGACTTTATTTGCTATATACTGTATCTGACAAAAGTGAGTACACCCCCTCACATTTTTGTAAATATTTTATATCTTTTCATGTGTCAATACTAAGAAATGACACTTTGCTACAATGTCAAGTAGTAAATGTACAGCCTGTATAACAGTGTAAATTTGCTGTCCCTTCAAAATAACTCAACACACAGCCATTAATGTCTAAACAGTTGGCAACAAAAGTGAGTGCACCCCAAAGTGGAAATGTCCAAATTGTGCCCAAAGTGACCTTGCGCTCCCTCACCTTCCGTTTGAGGATGCCCCACAGATCCTCAAAAGGGTCTGAAGACATGCTTGGCCAGTCCATCACCTTTACCTTCAGCTTCTTTAGCAAGGTAGTGGTCTATTAGGAGGTGTGTGAGGGGAGTACTCACTTTTGTGAGATACTGTATATAATTTTTTTCCCCCCTTTTTTTCCTATTTATGTTTTAATATGTATAATGAGAACTGACTTTATAATTTTAAAATCGGTGCCGGAAATTAAGAATCACTAAGCAAGAGCAAAGCACTCTGGACGAAGTAGTTTCTACTGCAAACCGGAAGTGGGTTCGCGCGTCACTTCCAGAGAAACAAACAAACAAGGATCATCATAGAAACATCGCCCCAACCTCGCATTAGCTGAGAATAACCCATGGAGATTGGACTGCCAAGGAAAAAGGGGCGGGACAGACGAACATTTAAAGTTGGAACCGGACACTTTGAGAAAACACAGATTGAAAAAGCCACTATTCCAGGCAAAACGCGTCTCGGGACACAGGAAAAGAGAACTTTTATTTTGTCCATGTTTTATTTACATAAATATTTTCAAAGGTATATACACATTTTATTTCCCCCTTGTTTTTCCTCCTCTGATCCAGGTTCCAGTTAAGGTAGTGTCAACTCTAAAGTGGCACGGGTCTTTTCAACTTGGAGTCAGTTGTCAACTCCAATCAAGGTGAGCACCACATTTCGGTCACGTATTATCTGACAAAATTTAAAATTTCTACACCTAGAAGGCGTTTTCTCTTTTTATTATTTCTCATTTACATGGACTATATTGGGAACTCCTGATAAGAATATTCCTTGAAGAAAGGTTGTTGCTTGCCACCTAAAAAGCACAGGAGGTTACAGAGTTTAGAGCCTATACCATGAAAAGGCTCTACACGTTGTGAGTTAATTTTCACTCACCACATGTGTTTTTAAATATTCACTTACATACTACACCATAATACTTTTTTTCTCTCCTTGTATTTATTTACATGTTTTCATAACTGCTATTTTTTTTAAAGCGTAAGTCCCTATATTTATTTTGAAGCGCTGCACTCACATGTTAGATGTTAGGGGTATATCTCCTAAATATAGGGTGCAAATGTGACATATATTGTATACTATATCTGCAGAGCTTGGCTCAGGAAAACTAATAGAAGTGCCTAAGCAGAAGCTTCCACCTCTCTGGAGGAAGACTCCAGGTAAGAGGTCAAACTGTTCAAGATGGTTTCACTACTTACAGTAGGGGTACAAGGCAGTGCTGCCGCTTCCTATAGGCAGACTAGGTGGTGGCCTGGAGCGCCCTTGCAGGGGCTGTAATACGGTCTGAATCCCCCATGAGATGAAGCTGTCAGTGTTTACTCATGGAGACCATAGACATTAGTCTCTGCATGCTTCAGCTCTCCTCCTTGTATTTCGGGTAGTTAAAATTCTTTCAACAGATTATAGGAGTTACGAATGTAACCCCACCCACAATGACATAAACCCACCCATTCTACAGCTAACCACGCCTTTCCCCACCTCAATCACTCTAACTCCGCCTCCTTTCTGCCTCTTCCCCCTCCTCCCAAGTCCCTGTCTCCAGAAACCTGGTGGTTTGAAGAGGAGGGCTGTGGGAGAGCGAAGCTTCAATGTGCTGCTCCCCCTGTCCTGTTTCTGAGGAGAGTTACCATGAGAAGACTGGAAGCAACAGAAAACGAGGAGTTTCTTGGAGAACTGGTGGACTGTGGTTGGTATTGGTTAATACCAAATGAAAAGGCAGGGTTAATTTTTTATTTAAAACTTTTTTCCATCTTTTTTACAGATATTTTAAATCTTTGCTGATTTTATTTATTTAAAATTTGTCCCTTTTTATTTATATTTTTTTATTGTATTTGCTGTTTTTATTTAAACTTTGTCCTTTTTTATATCTATAATTACTCCTTCCTGTCTTTATTTAAAACTTTTTCTCTCTTTTTTTTTTTTTTTTCCCTCTTGCTGTTTATATTCCCCCTCCTTGTGGGTCCTGCTGCTGCTGAGCTAATTAGGGGATGTGCCCCTTAATTTCCACCTGTGTGGGATTTGTATTGCCAATATAAACCCACTACTGACTCACAGAGCTTGCTCACTGGAGTTTGCTTGAAAGTAGGCTATTTAACCCTTTAAGGACTGAGCCAAATGTACACGTTGTGATCAAAACGTAAACTAAACCTGGAATTTGACTATATGTCTGTTCAACCGTAATTCAACTCTTTCATATTAAGTGCACCCACACTTAATATATATCTTTTTATTCAGGGGAAACAGGGCTTTCATTTCACATTAAATATTTAGCTATGAAACATAATTTAATGTAAATAAAATATTTTTAAAAAAGAGTGCCAGAGCAAGCTAGACGCATCTCGGAACAGTGCCGCCAATCAGTCCGTGTAAACCGATATTCGAGCCGACACTGCCCACACAATTGGGCTCCAATTGCTACAGCCCAATCACAGACGATAGATGAAAAACAAGAAGCTGGGCTTGGACCCGCGCTCAGGTTTCCGAGATATAGGCACATTTATGTGCACGATTGCTCAGCCTGATCCCGCTGAGGCTTGTACACCGCTGTCTTCGGACAGGGACAGCAGCACAGCTGACCTCTCTCCTCCACCAAGGCGGCGAACAGGGCCACAGGCACATACAGAGCTGGAAGACTCGGCCCCCTCCACTAAGGCAGACATTAAAGCCTTAATGAAAGAGATCCAGGCCATGTTTAATGCGGACATAGCGCCAGTCCGTGAAGCAGTGTCCACCCTCATAACTCGTGTTCATGCAGTGGAGAACAGCATGGAAGGCTCCAAACTCGCACAGTCAGCTACCGATGCTGCCATAGCAATGTTGCAAAAGCAGTGTGCTGACCATCAGGCCCAGATAGCCAACATGGAGGACAAGGCCAGGGCACGCAACCTGAGGATAAGGGGGGTGCTGGAAATGAGCGCAGGAGCAGAGCTCCCTCATTGTTAAAGGAGACTTCTTGCCACTCTCCTCATGCCATAACAGACCAAACAGCTTGTGGTGGATTCCTGCTTCATACTTAACAAAGCGACCAACGCAACCCAAAAGGTACCCAGGGATGTCTTATTTAAACTAGTGCCGGACTCTGACCATGATGTTATAATGGGAACAGTCAGGGGCTGTGAGGGGGCATAGCTGGCATTTTCTCAAGGCATACTTTGACATGGCGTAAACCAATTACCCAGCTCCACCAGGAGAACTCGATCACATACAAATGGGGCCCCCGCTGACTACTTGCCAACAAAGCGGGCAAGACATATGCCATATCCCACCCTAATGAAGCACCAGCCTTCCTGGAATCCCTAAGCCTACGAGAGGAGAAGTCAGTGCCGCCAGGCCACTTAGCCTGGAATGTAGCAGACATCACCCCGTTTGTGCCCAGAAGGGGAGCACCCGCGGCCGCCGACCTGCCACCCTGAACTCTTTGGCTGCATCTAACTTGCACATAATGCTCCATAATGTTCAGGTTTTTTTTATTTTCTTTGATGTTAATTGATATTACCTACAATGCCTCTGTTGTTCTGGCTCTGTAGGCTTCAGATATAGCTATAAGATAGTTTTTCCCTGTTCCCCCCCCCTCATCGCACAGAGTGCGCAAGCGGTACTCCTGTACTATTGCAGCTAACCTCTGCTCGCCCCGCGTACAGCCATGGCCTCCTGTTTCAGCGCCAGCGTACTAAGCTCTGCTCCCTAGCCATAGTAGGCTACCCAACTGCATATACTAACCACACATGCCTTACTAGAGCCTGTGTTTCAGGGCGCTGCGACAATTAGCCACAAGGCGCATGAAGCCAATCACTAGCATGCCCCAAGTTCTACGCTCAATAGCTTCCTATAGGGGAATCTGGGTGTCTTAGACCATAACCATAAAACTGAGTAGGTTCAGCTACGTGATGTCTGTCCAGCTCCAGTGTATATACTCTTTATCTGCTGTTCACATGAAAAGTTGTATTCTTTGCAAAAACTCGCAAAAATAAAGAATTTGTTTTTAAAAATTATATTAAAAAATGGGAGAAAATTTGAATTTAAAAAAATTTTTTAGTTCTATACGACATTTTAACTGTGCATGTCATAATAATGTTTGCTTTTACTGCAATAATACACACATGTATTCAGCGATGTCTCGTGTGTAAAACAGTACCCCTTATGTACAGGTTTTATGGTGTTTTGGAAAGTTACAGGGTCAAATATAGCCTGTTAAATTTTTCAGTTTTTTCACATTAAAATTTGCCAGATTGGTTACGTTGTCTTTGAGACTGTGTGGTAGCCCAGGAATGAGAATTACCCCCATGATGGCATACCATTTGCAAAAGTAGACAACCCAAGGTATTGCAAGTGGGGTATGTCAAGTCTTTTTTAGTAGCCACTTAGTCACAAACATTGGCCAAAGTTAGCGTTCATATTTGTTTTTGTGTGAAAAAAGCAAACAAACTAATATTTGGCCAGTGTTTGTGACTACTAAGTGGCTACTAAAAATGACTGGACATACCTCACTTGCAATACCTTGGGTAGTCTACTTTTGCAAATGGTATGCCATCATGGGGGTAAATCTCATTCCTGGGCTACCACACGGTCTCAAAGGTAACATTACTAATCTGGCAAATTTCAATGTGAAAAAAATGAAAAATTGAATGCGCTATATTTGACCCTTTAACGTTCCAAAACACCGTAAAAACTGTTAATGGGGGCTACTGTTGTACTCGTGAGACTCGTGAGAGCTAAATGTGAGGCGGAACTACAAATTATTATTTTTTTAAATTAAATTTCTTACAGTTTTTTTTATTTTATTCTTAATAAATTATGTTTCATATATGAATAGTTCATGAGAAATTTAAGCCCTACTTCTCCTGAACAAAATGATATATATAATAAGTATGGGTGCATTTAATATGAAAGAGGTGAACAGACATAGCGCCGCGTGGGACAGGAAGAAGGAGACCTGGCAGAGAGGGAGAGGAGGTGAAGCTGCCAGGTCTCATTTGAGGATGGGGGGGTTATGAGCATAACGGTAGGTTGTGGGGCCCTGCGCTCCATCAGGGGCCCCACAAGCTGTCAATGAAATTGATTTTTATTTTGCCGTTAATAATATCTCCAGCTGGAGCATGACTGTGCGGTCAGGCCCCTGGCTGTCTCGGGCCCTCGGTCCATGACCGATGTGCCCGGGTGGTCAGTCCGCCCCTGGAGGTAGGACAGAACTCTTTTAGAAAGTGGGGTGAAATGGAGAGTCTGATGTAGGTAGAGGAACATAATTTGCTGACAGGGTAAACCAACATTATAAATGGGCTACTATTAGTGTTATAGTATTTGCAGTGTTTGTTAAACGAGTTGCTTTCACGGATACATCATTTGTACTCAATATCAGACCTACAAGACGCCATATTCTACAGTCAGTGACTGCATCATGTGCTTATGGGTTTGGTTTGTTTTGTTACTGATCACGTGACTGTCCGCCGGCATCCTTTGTCATGTGACACGCCCTGACCAATCAGCGCAACCCGCGCTATTTTCGTTTCGCGGCGGTGATGACGGACCCTCAGAGACGGACCGGAGGTCGCAGAAGCTCGGGGCTTCTATTGAACGCGCCGGCGAGTCGCGGGGGAGAAGCCCGGGCGTTATGCGATGCACTGAAGAAACTCAGCGCGGTGACGCGAGCGATATCCGCTAACGTGCGGCATGTCAACTCCAGCCTAGAGAGGTGAATCTTGGCCAGGATTGGTTTAGCGACTTCCGGGGGCGGGTCCTAATCTCTGTAAGCTGATTGGCTGTTGAGCTGTCAGTAATACTGGGAAGGATAGAATGCTTGCTGGAGTTTAGAGAGCTGTATTCTGTTTGGGTTTCATTCAAATTTTGGTCTTTTGATACCTAGCCCTGTCTATGGGATGAGGGTAATTACAATGGTTTTAGATCTTCAGCGTCCCAGCTGTTATGTGTTCTGTTGGTTCTAATGTTTGATCAACATTAGATCATCATTGTAAATAATTTGAGGTTTATCTACAAGGGCTGGATGGGTTGAAGTCCAAATAAATATAGTTATCCCTGTGTTTAAAATACAAAATTCAGGCCCTTTATTCAACATTTCAGAATGGAGCAGCCTACAGTCTGAATTAAGTTTGGAGGCCTGTTCCTTTTTTTTAAATTTTATTTTATACTATTTTTATTGAATTTCACTAAAACTATTTTGTGAATGTAAGAGAATAGTATAATGTTGGAACCAGTTGAAATAATATGTTGGTAACATAAAGGGAGAAAGTGGTTTTAGGGGGGGAAACCATATGAGGTGATATATGACAGAACTGCCATTTGCTAGATAATGAATGAGTTTGAATAGTCAAAAAATGTCATATGCGTAAGGAGATGTAAAAGATAGAGTTGCAACAGATAAAGGAAGATCAAAGTTAGTTCCAAACGTGTCCAATAAGATCACTGCAAAGCAGCACAGTTATCTAACTAGAAACTTGTCCACAGATAATGGGCTTATGTGTTGCATAAACAACAGACCAGTTTCTGGCATTGAAGTAAAATGGGTTTTGAGTAACCAGAACAACTGCGTCTCTGTTGTCTAATACGGTCTTAGATTTGGGCAAGTCCACCAAACGTCAATGCTTTCCTATGGGAATTTCACTGAGGCTGGATGTCCTCATGCAGAGAATAAGGACGTCCAGCGTCATTTAAGGACCCAGAGTCCGGTAAACTGCCGGAAGCGCATTTAGTGGCATTAGTCTGGTAGAGAGCTACTAGAGGGCATCTTTGCACTAGTTTCTCAAAACACTTTATTTTTTTACACTGCAGAACTATGGGGGGCAGGGACATTGCACCCAGACCACTTCAATGAGCTGAAGTGGTCTGGGTTCTTATAGTGTCCCTTGATTTTTATCCCATGCATTCCAGGATTGCCAAAACAACCTCACTAGCAGTATTATATGTATTCGACAGTGCAACATTTTTTTTACAAAACCACCATATTCTAACTGTGGTAACAGTGGGAGAATATGGCTATCACTTCTGATTTATTGTGGCATACAGTGTGTTTACACTTGCAAGTAGCTGATCATCTGTATAAACGGTGTCAGTGTATCAGCCAAGATTCATGCTACTTACTGAAGTGCTTTGGGAGTTAACAGAGTAGCTTGTTATTCACCTTATAAAAGTGTTAATTTTAAAGAGAAATTGGCACATTTTATAATATTGAATCAACTGATTCAGTGCTTTCTATGAGATGAAATGCAGGCAAAGAGCATCTGCTTCTGTGTCCCATAGATTCTCCATTATACTTCACTATTGATCCTTTATTTATAGGCATTGGGGGTTATAAATATATACATTTGTAATGCTGGTATGTATGTTTTTTTAATTAGGTTTTTATTTTCACTACAAATTCTTATGTGGAAGCCAATACTGAAATAAAGGTTATAATGCCACTTTAATTGACCCTTTATAATTTGTTTAATAATTGTGAAGATCCTATATTTGCATACATAAGTATAATGAATGTTTTGGATATGCAAAGATATTGAAAGCATAGTTGTAATATTGTAATGTTGACCTGCTTCATAATGAACCACCATAGAATAACACTGGCGTTATAGCACATAACTTGTCATAAAGTTGAATAAATTCTGTAATTATTTAATTTTTGAAAATGGTCAATTAAGTACACAAATGGTCTTACTGAAACCATTATATCTTTTTTCACTCAGAATTTTGCTGGATAAACAGGACATCGAAGAACTAGAGACAATGCTTGTATGTATGGACACGTTATTTCAGGATTAAAAGGGGACATTTAATATTCTGTAAAATATATATATATATATATATATATATATATATATATATATATATATACACATTTTTCTGTTATTTATTTCATTTTTATGCAATATGTTCCTTTAAAGGACAACTTCCACCTAAAAGTAACGTTGGGCCAAAGTAATGCTTTTTTATACTTTATTCAAGGGAAAAGTTTTCTGTTTTTGTTCTTTTTCTTAATAGTGTCAATGTAAAATTTCTAGCAAAATGCATTTTCCATCACGGACAGCACATGATGTAATCTCTCAGCACCCTGTACTCTCTACGAGGCAGTGCAGTCTAACTGGGGTGATTGGTGGCCATTTTGTTATTGCCATACGCTGTGTGTTCCACCTGCACTGTGCTCTGGGGCTGGAGCCTATGTCTCTCAGAACACTCTGTTCAGAGCACAGGTAGGTTACCGGCTGTCAGGCGGAATACACAGATTGTTCTCAATGGGAAGCCTCTGTGCTGGAACAGCAAGTGCATGCAATCACGGCTTTCTTATGCTTCTAAGTGAGTTGTATTATATGTTTGGAGTACTCCTTAATCATTCCATGGGTCTATTGGCTGTGTATTCTATAGTATTGAAATCAGGCTGCTTTGATTTATATACTCAATTTATCCTCTGTCTTGGTGAGAATGGCTTGCACGTGTAACATAAAACGGCTTCAGCAGTGGACCATACTAACATATTATTTCATCTCCTAGAATTCTCTGCTGCTGGAGAAAATGTGAAATAATTGCATCTGAAAAACATTAAGCCGTGGGTCACTGAACATATGAGGAGTTCAAAAGGAACTATAAGAATTGTGTATACAATCAATGAAAAGAAGATGGTATTCTGTACTAATTACAGCCGATAATAAGCCAAGATGAAAAACAACCCATACGTTATTTGTTTATGATGCATACTTTTCAGTATATTGAGCAGTGTATATAAATCACTAAACACAAAATGACAATTTTGAAATAATCAGAATTTCTATACTTTAAGATTTATTAATTACTGTTGGCTTAATTTACAAATAAATACTGACGTGAATATCTCCCAACATGGAGCAAAAGTAGAGGAGATTTACAACAAAAGCCCCCTTCCCCTAAAACAATAGACTGGTGCGATGTTTCATTTTAAATGTAACTTCCTCTCAGCCTCCTCAAGGATATGTGGGTTACTATTAAAACCACCCATAGGTGGAGAAGAGTTGGAAAATGTGCATGGAGAGATCCATCATTGTTGGACAGGTTTCAGAGGGTTGTTCATTAGTCTTGAGAATGTGTCAGAGGAGAGCACAGAAGAATTTCTTCTCCCTGAAAGGGTTTTCGGAAGTGGGCACTGGAGTGATGAGGGGATCTTCGCAGGCATGGGCGTCACAGAAAGTCATAAGGTCAGAAGCAGCTTTTGAGACCTGTAGGGAAAGAAAAAGTTTTTTTGAGCTTGATATGAGTATAAAGTTGAAAGCATGGGGTAACTCTAACTCAACATAAAATGTGATATTGTTTTTTGAATGTCAAAAGGTTTACTTGCATGCGTAAATTACGCCTCGTTAAGTTGGTTAATAAGGAATCAACCTCTTAGTTCCAGGGATAATGTTATTTTTGTCAAACTGCAGCCAAATGAATTGACAAGAAACCAAACAATCAACTGCAGACCATTTGGCAATATAACCACTGACCTGAATTGTAGTGGTTATGTTACTAGGTGTACCACTTCAGAAGACTATTCCTAATTTTACCTCACTTTTGCCATTCAAATTTAATTCTCAAAAATGTGGCATTTAGTTAATAATTTATGTGAATAATCCTCAAGGTACTAAAGAGAGAATTATCAAGAATACAATGTGCATTTCAAATTCAAGGCCAAAAAAGCCAAAGTGCTTTCAACTTTGATATTTTAGCCTTAAATCTGAAATTTATTTTGAATTCTCAACAATTTTCACTTCAGTGAATAACTAAGCTTGTCTGTCATTTTGGAGCATGGGACAGTTGACATTCAAGTGCCTACAAAATTAGTAAACAATTTTTCTTCTGTTGCATTTCTGCCCAACATTTTTGCCTTTTGTATGAATTGTAAATAAATGTATTTTGTGTAAGACTTCTTTTCTCATGCTTTGGGTCTGTTTGTTATGACAGTGTTATCTTGTACAGTACAAGTAGGTCCAGGTGTCAGATGGGGAATACAAAATAAAATGATCCCAAAAAATTACTCTTTCTCTAATTTTTGTTCATGGTCTCTGTCACGATTCGTAATAAATAAAATATATTTTTGGTTTGTTATAGCAGTTGCACTGTTCTGTTTAGGGGCGCCATCAGGGGTGTATGTATGTGTGTCTGTCTGTATGTTATTATGTGTCTGTGTGTCAGTATGTATGTTGTATGTGTATGCCTGTTTCAGTATGCATATTTGTGTCTGTGTATCTCCTGGGGGGCTCTGGGCCCCACATGTAGTGGCAGAACTGCTGCTGGTGGAACTGCATCAGTGCCCACACCCTGATTGGGCCCATGCACTTAGAGCCACCCTATGGGCATATATGTTCAGGGGACTGGTCAGCACTGTGGCGCTTTGACAGCGTGACCGGACCCCTTTTAATGATGTCAGCCGCAACTAGTGCTGGGAGGAAGTGATGGCTGGTCACTTCCTCCCAGCTTATTCCACGTAGGATGGAGATGACAGGCTGTGAAGAGGGAGAGCCAGACTGACTCCCATAAGCCACAGCCATCCTCCTGCATCGAAAAGGTAAAAAACAGGAGGGTGGCTGAAAAATTAGCTGCATGTGTGTGTCTGTATGCATGTCAGTATATGTGTGTGTGTGTATGTATGTCAGTGTATATGTTTGTGTGTGTCTGTTTCAGTATGTGTGTGTGTACGTATGTATGTTTCAGTATGTGTCTTTTATTATGTATCTATGTGTCAGTGTGTGTATGTCAGGAATATCTGTGTTTGTCTCTGTGTGTTCGTTCTCTGTAAATATTTTGAGTGTCTGTGTATGTTTCAGTGTGGGTGTGTGTGTCTGTGGTAGTGTATACACTACACACAAATGCACACCTGCATTCAAACACCAACATTCACACATATACTCCATACAAAAATATGCTTACATTCAAACACAGATTATGTGTGTGTGTGTGTATATCAGTGTGCGTGTTCACTTTACACACTGCATACTATACACAAACACACCCTGTACCCACTCTACAAACACTGCTTCTTTGTGGGCGGATTTGGAGGTAGACCCAAGGGGGCCCAGACCTTCAGCTGTGTTAGGGGGCTCAAAATTTCTGATGGCAGCCCAGGTTCTGTTGTCCAAATTTCCACATGGGAACCACTTTTTAAACTCATCCCCCATTGAGGTGTTATTCACAAATCCGTTTTTGTTTTGTTAAATGTTGTGTAAGTATGAATTGCATTTTAAGTTCAGGTTTTGCAAATGGATTTACGTGGGGTCTGGATTGACAAACTCTGCTTTATAACTGGTACATCCAGATTCCAAAGATTCCACCAGGATCTGAGTGTCCATTTGTTTAAATATACATAGGGATTTGGGAAGAGTGCAGGTAACTTTTTTTTATTTTTTATTTGGTTTTTACTGTATGTATTGGGGTTGATTTGTACTATGGTCGTTGCTGCCGCCCAAGAGTAGTGGGAGTTTGAGCGGAGGACTTGTTTTTTGTATTTGCATTCACTTTTGTATCACACAGCTAGGTTGCAATGCTGCTGCCAATCCCATGTGTTCCCTATTAAGGGTTAATAAGCATGTAGGGGTTTAGATAAAAATACCCCTCTCTGTCTCATTAGAGATATCCTTGCCAGAAGTTCAAGGAAGCAAGTTGAATGCTTAGTGTAGGACCCACCTAAGAGGTTTGCCTTGGCGTGGCAGGTGGGCATTCCCTCTCATGGCCATTGAAGTAACGAAATAATATTTATATGTTTAAATATACATAGGGATTTGGGAAGAGCACAGGTAACTTTTATTTTCTTTGGGTTTTACTGTATGGATTTGGGCTGATGTGTACTATGGTCATTGCTGCCGCCCAAGAGTAGTGGGAGTTTGAGCGCAGGACTTGTTTTTTTGTACTTGAATATGCATTTATTGCTGAGTAAAAAATATCCTTAGTATGTTGCTGTGTCATGTAACAGTGTCAAAAGCCTACTCACACTAGCAAAAACATATTAAAGAAACACTCCAAACTCATAAAGCACTTTAGCTTGCTGAAGTGCTTTACATGTGAAGAGTGTACTCTTTCATTTTGTATAAAAAAAACAAACAGATTTCAATAGGAATGGGAACTTTTATAAATTAACCTTGGTACACGCCCCTTGCTTTCAGTCAGACAACCAGTCCTGTCACTTCCTGGTTGCTTAGCTTAGTGTAACAAAACTCAAGAGACTGGCAAGTGGCTACAGCACCTGTCTTGCTAAGATTTTTCATTGAGCTGCACTGGTCTGTAATTCAGCAGCCACAGAAAGTCTGAGACAAGATCTGCCGCTTTTGCAAGCTGTTTTTGGATATACCCCCAATGAAAATGAAATGCATAATTAAATTCATGCATGTTTTCATTGGGGATATACCTACTAAATAGTGGTTTATTTAGGCAGTGAAGTGTTTGTGTCGATGATTGTGTATGTTTAGGTGACCATTCCCCTTCCGATCACATGGGGATGTTGTTTTTTTTTAAATCACCATTTTTTCCCACGCCGTGCCTGCCTTGCCACGGCTGGCCCCGCCTCCATGGCTGAGATAATCATGCTTGCTATAGGAAAGCATTGGGAAGCCATTGCGCATGCGCGTCAAAAGGCTGCGTGCCAATCAGCATCTCCTCATAGAGATGCATTGAATCATTGCAACTCTGAGGATTGCTCAGTATCTCCATGCATAGTGTGGACACGCTGAACCTAAGTGCTCCACATGTGCAGCTCTGAGATAGGAAGCACTTTAGTAGTCGTCTGAGTGATTGCTACTAGAGGTGTTACTAGGCAGCAATGTTAAAACTGCCTTTTCCCAGAAAAGGCAATGTTTACAATGAAAAGTCTGCAGGGACAGACTGTAGACACCAGAACCACTACATTAAGCTGTAGTGGTTCTAGTGACTTTAGTGTCCCTTTAAAAAAATATTTTTGTTGTTAAAAATAAGCTTTGTTCATTTTAAAAATGCTTTTGAATGTAGGGGATGTAGTGTTGGCATTTGAAAACAGGCATGCATTTGTGTCTAGTGTTGGTTTTTGAATATGCAGGGGTGTGGTGTTTTAATAAGGTGTGTTTGCATGCAGCGTTATTCCTTGAATTCATAATCTGTTAGGTGGAATTATCTAAATGTCAGAAAAGGCAATGGTATACCCTTGTAAAAGACAACATATTTTTTTTTTTTTTGTGTGTTAACCTATGTTACAATGTAGAATACATTCCAGAAAAACTTATATCCCTGATATATGCAGCATTACCTCAAAAATATAAACTGACAGACTATTATTTAATTAACGTATGGGGAATTGAATTGAATAAATCATTCACTGAAAACGAATGGGAAAGAATGAGCACTACACCTAAAAACCTGACACTTTGCACCAAACATACTGAACTAGCAAAAAAATTCAATTACAGGTGGTATTTGACACCAGCACAACTTCACCGCATTAGTCCTAACTTGTCCGACCATTGTTGGAGATGCCAATCGGCAGTTGGATGTATGTCACATATATGGTGGAGTTGTCCTCGACTTCTCTCGTTCTGGAAGCAAGTTGCAAAGCTCATATGGGACTGCACAGGCATTACCCTGCCCCACCACTTAGAACATTATATTCTATTTCATGTCCCGATCTCAATACCAAAGCCAGAGCAATATCTCCTGTTCCACATAGTTATAGTAGCGCTCTCATTCATAGCTCAAAACTGGTGCTCTCAGGCAATCCCCACCATGAGATGGTGCACACAACAAATAGACCAAACATGTCTGTATGAACTAGCGATAAGGAAACAAAATATGCCCCCCAAGAGGAAGCACCCCAATTATAGGTATTATTGGGAAATAGCTTGGGATAAATGGATCAAATTCGAACAAAAATCCAGACAAAACCATTAATCTGGTTCAACTAGGCAGACTCATAGTCCGATAACCTGCCTCATAAGGGGTGCTATGCACACAGAGACGATACTATTGTATGGATACATACCAGAGGTAACAGCGAACAAAACCACAACCAAACCCTAACTCCATAAGGATGTAGAACCCGGGGTGGGCACCCTACTCTGTACAATATTTATCTTTACTGTGTCACCTAGAGCGAGGTTGGGATTTCACACCACTCACACCCAGAGACTACACTATGACAGAAGATTGGCTGAAGGAAGTCACCAGTTTGCAACCAAGGACCCCTCTCACCCGACATGCCACCATACCCTCCTACCCCATCCCCAAGTTCTCCTTTCTTACGCAAAGAAAATAAACTAACTTTTGACTCAGTTCGCACACTAGTGTACAGGTATATTTAGGTGGTGTTTGAATAATGATGTACTACAATGCTCATGTAAAAACTGAATATATGCACAGAGGTTATGATGCCATTTGAATCTTTGTATAACTGTATACAACGTGGTATATGCCTGTTATTCACTATGTACCTGTACACATGTCTTTCTATAACTGTGTCAATATAAAAAAAAAAAAAAAAAATGTAGAATACATTAACACTTTTCTGTAATGCTACACACAACCTTACATGACCGGGGCACTGTTATCAGTCACTGAGTACATACCTTAATACGGCACATGGAAGCCTCAATCTTAAGCTGCTCCACCATTTTCCTGGCTTGCCCAACACTCAGGGTGCTGTTCACGGGGGTATCCCCTTTCATTGTGCTGCCTGAAGAATAAGGTAGACTAGTTATTGATAAAGTAATGCTAATGTTAATTTTTTAAGATGGATATTGTAATACAAATAAATCTTTGAATGAACCATCATTACATTTCAATTATTTGAATACTAGCACATTAGCCTATTATTAAGATGACAGGTGGAGATATGGTCTGTGTAGCCACTTTACACGTAGGCCCAGTGGTAGATAGCCTATCCCAATGGCACACAAGCAGGCCAATACCATTCTTTCATTCCACATCAAACCTTCATCTTCTTACTATACCACTTTCTCCTCTTAACTTGAAACGTTGTCCGTGTCTGTGCCTGGTCTGAACTGGACTCTGATGTCCATTGCCAACTTAGGCCTCAATTTAATATTGTTGGATAGGTTTTCCAACTGATTAAATCATTTTTAAAATGATTAAATATTATAAAAAGATTTTATTTAACATTTTAAAGTTTATCCAAAAATATTAAAATATTTGTAAAGCTTATTAAACAATATTAAAATCAAGGCTCTATAGGGACACTGTAGTCGCCAAAGCAACTTTAGCTTAATGAAGCAGTTTGGGCCTAGAACGGGGCTCTGTTTTTGGAGAGATGGGTGTAAGAGAGGGACAGTTGTAACTACTTCTTCCCCATGGTATGTGTTTGTCATGTTTCTCCAATTACTAGTGTAACAGACAATTCATCAACTTTCAATTGCTTGTCATCTGGTTTGGGATGGTAGAGTTATTCTATGGTATGTATGCCAGTGGTGTATTTTGGATTTGGCACCCCCAAAATCTAAATTTGCCCCAACAATTCTTGTCAAGGCCACTTTTTTGACTGACAGACAAATGCCCTCATTGATACATGCACTGATATACACAGTCATTGGCACATACATACAGTCATTGGCACACACTGTTTAACCAACACACACTTTCACTGACAGACACACACTAGCAGACACACACTCCATGTACATTTCCTCCAACCCCTTTCCTGTCTTATTGTTTCCCCAGCAGGGTGTTGTCCTATTGTTTGAGGGTCACTTCTACGCTGCCCTGTCCCTCATTTAAATCTCATTTAAATCCCCCATGTGATTAACAGCCCATGTTAATGTCTATCCCCAGTGCTACATTCACACTAATGTAATTAAGCTCTGTAGTGTGATTGGTTGCTATCCCAAGTCCATCCTGCCATTGGTTGACTTGTGTATACTATATCTAAATGAGGCTGCTGGGGGTATAAATAGATGTGCTGTTATCAATAAAGCTCAGTTGTGTTTTACCATATGCTATGCCTTGATTAGTATTTGGTGGAAGGGTTAATATGGCTATAATTGATCTATAGGAGAGAAAGTCTTGAGCTACAATCACTGCAGCCTGGTCCAGACAAGAGGACCTCAGAGACTCTAGTCAAGCTTTGGCGACTGGGTCTGAAGTGCTTCAGAGTCCTGGCAGTAGCTAGGAAACTGACCTGGCAGAGGGACTCAGTCTGAGTACAGGAGCCCCGCCACAGGGCGTCGTAGTGAGAGTGCTAGATCAAACTACTTGCTTTACCAGCCAGAGTCTGCTATATGTGGCTCTGGTAAATGTGATTAGTTCTGTGGAAAAGTCTTCATTTAATATATATAAAATACGACTGTATTACGCTATGAAAGCATCTGTTCTTATGTTTTCTATAAAGCTCTGAACTAATTATAACCAACCAACTATTACTTATTACGAAGATCTCTATAAGTATTTGTTGTTTTATGTGCACTCCCCACCTTTTATATATGTCATATTACTTTATGCTAAAGTAGGTGATCATTGACACTGGGAATATTTGTTGCATTTACTAGCGCCAACTACACATAATTTCTGTTATATTTTATAGTTCCTTGAAAGGACCCAAAAACCGTAACTGTCTGGGTGATGGTTGGGAGGCATGCCAATTTAAATGTTGATTAAATTGCCCAGTATAGGTCAGGGTATAAATGATCTTGGTTTTCAGGGGTGGCAAATGTTTATAGATAAGTAGGAAAGTGTTTCATAAGCCTCATCAGAAACAGAGGGCAAGTTAAAGGAACACTATAGGGTCAGGAACACAAACATGTATTCCTGACCCTATGTGTTAAAACTACCATCTGCCCCTACTCCCCCATGTCCCCTCAAATATAGTAAAATGTGCCCCTGATCTTCCTGCTTGGCTGACATCATCAGAAGTGTTGTTCTGAGCCAATCACAATGCTTTCCTACAGGATTGGCTGAGACTGTCAAGGAGGCAGATCAGGGGTAGAGCCAGCACAAGTCAAACAGCCCTGACCAATCAGCATCTCATCATAGAGGTGGATTGAATCAATGCACCTCTATGAGAAAACGTCAGTGTCTACATGCAGAGGATGGAGTCACTGAATGGCAGTGCTGCTTACAGTGCAGCACTGCCCAGTAAGCACCTCTAGCAGCCATCTAAGGAGTGGCCAGTGAAGGTATCACTAGGCTGTAATGTAAACACTGCATTTTCTCTGAAAAGAGAGTATTTACGGCAAAATGCCTGAAGGTAATGAGTATACTCTCCAGAACATATTTAATAAACCGTAGTTGTTTTGGTGACTATAGTGTCCCTTTAAGATTTACCAGTAATTAAAGCTGTTCTTTGAAGTAGACTGTCAGGTTAAGATTATTTGACGGTATATTGGTCATTAAGGGCAGTATAATATTCTTAAAACATATGACCTGTCTCCTCCTTCAGGCTGAAATTTTGGCCTTCATGTATTTAGCCAACTAAGAACCAACATTGGTAACTTTTTTCTAAAAAATAAATAAAAATAAATGTGTGGTCCATATTAAAGCTGCTATGCCACCAAAAATAGACCTTTATCTAACCTGTTTCCATATAGCTCCCTGTGTCTGAATCTCTTTGTTTGTCCTGAGTGTTTAAATAAACGACAGAAATTCTGAGTCGCACTAGAGTTGACAATGGGCGGAGCTTAAAGCAAAGTTCTGATTCAGTTACCAACCAAATCTACCCACAATCCATCAGTAAACCAATCCCACAGAAGGGCAAACAGCTGGCATCATGGACAAGGAAAACAAAATGGCCGCGCTCAGGGTTTGTGATCCGGCAAGAAAGAAAAAATAATAAATATGAATAAAGGCAAGTAAAGGAATATAATTATTACTCCCTTAAGGATGTTAGGGCTTTCTGTGCCATACCACACTAAGCAGGGAAAATAGCATAGAACGCCCTGCATATTTGGTGTGAGCATGTATCAATGGATAGCTGGATAGCCTCTGTCTTCTGGGGTCATTTTCAGTGGCTCCAGACTTTTACATGAAATGGTTAAATAGGCATTAATACTGGTCTCCTAGGCAATTGTGATTGGTGCTTGGCTTTGCCAGATGCCCAGCACAAATATCTGTATAATTGGTTGGGAACCAGAGCTCCATTAACAATGACACTACATGTAGTTTTGAAAACGGCCTGTTATAGTGGCAGCATACAGAATTGATTAGTGGGTTACTGCATACTGGCAGCGGCAATGTGAGTGAAGTCTGCTTGTTGGCTAATATTGTTTTATTTTTAAACAGGGGCCAGGGGTTAGTAGATGGGGGACTGGGATTTAGTATAGAGGGGAGGAAGGGCTGGGATTTAGTATAGTGGTGGGGTACTGGGATTTGGTTTAGTAGAGGGGGATGGAGTTTAGAAGAGGGGGATGCTGTTTTTTTTAATACTGTACTTTTCAAAATAAACCTACGTTTCAATGAAAATTTAAGGTTTTGGGGTTTTTTTTGCGGCATAAACTAAAACCTTTTTTATTTCGCCCATGCTAGCCTTTGAGTTTGACATGCTTGGAGTAGGGTATTGTTACAGTTAGTGTTGGGGTAGGGTTAGGGTTATTTAATGGTTAATGTTGGGTATAAGATATTAATGCTATTTAAAGGTATAAGATTGTGTAGGACTAAGGTTAAGTGTAAGATTAAGGAAGGCATATGGTTAGAATTAGTGTAAGCATTGGGTAAGGGGTATGGTTGGTATTGCGTTAGTATGTGGGTTGATATACGGTTGGCGTTAACTATCAAAAATAATTTAACCCCTTAAGGACACATGACATGTGTGACATGTCATGATTCCCTTTTATTCCAGAAGTTTGGTCCTTAAAGGGTTACATTCTGAACATTTTATGCATTTAACAATCAGGACTGATATATGAACCTATTTTTTGTTGTTTTTGTTGTTGTTTTTTTTATTAGTTACACTGGATGTGCAAAAATCATTAGATTAGAGCGTCACCACACATGGAATGAGATCAGCAAGGACCCAAGTAAGACTGCACACTGTTACTAAACTGTTTGCCCCTTTACTGGGAAACTGGGCCAGGGTGCTCATAATTACTACAGCAGTTTAGCCCCAAAGTTGTTATCCAGACACTGCTGCCCCCCAGTTTCCTTACTTTCCACCTCCAGTTTGAGGAGAGGTTTTGGCAAGTGGCCAGTTTTAGGCTGAGGGTGTCAGCTACTCCTCTATTTTGGCATAAAATTGTAACTCTCTCTCCAAATTAGTGCTCTCAGCCTACCACTGCCACCCTTTTACTGCTCAAGTGAATGCTTTCATATTAGCTCAATCACAGGAGGAGAGGCAGAAGTCTGGCACCTGGGGGAACATTTTTAGTATTAAACTGTCCAAAAATGGTAAGATAGCACCAGCGGACTACAGGCACCATAACCACTTCATTGACTTCATGGAGCGTTCCTTTAAGGGTCATTATATGCATTTTAAGCATCTTAGGGCCACAATCATCTGACAAACTTGAACTGTGCTTATTTATTTTATTATATTTAAAGGGACAGTGGCACCAATAATCCTAGAGCACAAAGATATGAGTTGGAATGATTATGCAGCAGTATGGACTTCTGCTTCATTAGACCAACTCAGACCGGAAGGACCACAAGCTTCAAACATAAAATAAGTGACAAACCATTCAGAAGTGTAAACCATTCTAATGGTTATGGTGCATAGAGTGTGCCTTTTTAGGGGGCACTCCAAGCGTCAAAACCATTGCAGTGTGCAGTTCTACCATATCCTGTCAAACTAAAATAGCTTGGTTAAATACTGGGTCCGACTGGGCCCTTTCCATTTTTCTGAGACAGTAGAAGCTTGATGTCAATTTTGTGCAAGATAGGAACTCATTCATTGGTTCAGCTGACATTCTCAGCCAGTGGATGAAACCCTACATAGAAACAATGGGAATTGGGGGCACACCGGAACATGCATTTCTCAGCAGTGGTTCTGCCGTAGAGACCATTTAAAATGTTGGTTTCTACTGAAGCACCACTGATGAGAAATGCATGTTCAAGGTGTGCCCCCAATTCTCTTTTTTCTTTGTCTGTTTGGAGTCCAGACCAGATTCCTTTTGGATGGAGCACCCCATCCTCCAGCTTATGCCCCTTTGGAGGTAACCACAGAAAAGTATAACTTTAAAGGACCACTATAAGCACCCAGACCACTTCAGCTTAATGAAGTGGTCTGGGTGCCTGGTCCTGCTAGGTTTAACCCTTTTTTCTATAAACATAGAGAAACTGCTATGTTTATAATAGGGTTAATCCAGCCTCTAGTGGCTGGCGTCTTCTTTCACAGGGAGAAGACGCCAGCGTCCATAGGAAAGCATTGAGAATGGCTGAATGCGCGCACGGCTCTTGCCGCGCACGCGCATTCAGCCGAGGAGGCGGAGAGGAGGCGGAGAGGAAGAGGAGGAGAGTCCCCCGCCCGGCACTGGAGAAAGAGGTAAGTTTAACCCCTTCCTCCCCCTAGAGCCCGGCGGGAGGGGGACCCTGAGGGTGGGGGCACCCTCAGGGCACTATAGTGACAGGAAAACGAGTATGTTTTCCTGGCACTATAGTGGTCCTTTAAGGAGGTTTTAGAAAGCAATGTCACTTTAATAATAATTTTAATGTGATATAGATCAGATATGATTTGCATTGTGAGTGTATACATCAAAGCACTATCACTTTTATTGTTTAGTTTTGACACTATTTTTTTGAATGGTGTTTTTTTTTAATCATATTTATTTTGCATTATATATATTCACAATGCTCTTACAACAGAATAATAAAATACGCTTCAGTTAATTTAGCACTATTTATTTGTGTTCCACGTTAAAATTAGTGTAGGACCCACCGATATTGGGGTACTGTGGTGTAGTGGTGGGCTTAATACAATATGGCCATATGGTGGAACTGAATCCCATATTTGTTTGCTGAGATAGGTGATTTTGAGTAGCCTTACAAAATTTTAAATAGTATTTTTGTGTGTGCGCTGTCTTACACATGATTGACATCCAGCTCTTACAAGCTTGAAATCAACAAGGGTGTCTGTTTGACCCCAGGCAAGTGTCAAATCGTGCTGATACAGTTTGATTGGTTACGATGGGACACCTCCAAAACATTCTTGGAACTTGGAGTGTTCCTTTAACATTTTGGGAAATTAGCATTTACCGTTAGCAAAAACATGTAATTGCAGCAAATATCCTCACTGTGGTGTATATCACTTATACACATATACTAATAAACCGAGAAGAATCAAAATGACTCTAAATGTATCAATTCCTTTTAATAGGAATACCTACAGACATTGCTAATACTACAGGCCTAAAACACTTATATAAGTGTCTATATGTGTGACTATCTATGTCTACAATACATCAATTTAGAGCTACATTGTGAGACCAAGATGGAACACAATATATATATATATATATATATATATATATATATATAATTCTTTATTTTGAAAGATTTTTGCTTTTTTGGGGGTACAGAAAGAAAGACAGTGGGTAAAGATTTGTAGTCCAGTTTTTGAACACAGTATATTAATCAACAAACAGTCACTGTTTTATCATGACAAACATGCAGGCCATAAGGTTTGAGCTGTCAATAGCAAATCTTACAAAAACATCCTTCCCAGAGCAATCATATTTAGCAAATATCAAAACATGTTTCATAAATCAATGCATATATCTCTACCATATACATTTATATCCAAACCATCTGTTCTATAAATTGAATATTTCCAGTCTAGCAAATGCAGTCTGCAATTCTGTATCAAAATTCATGCAAATACAGCTCTGCATATTTTAGAGATTCCTTGTCTGTGAAGATGGAGGGGGCAGCAGGGAGGGGCAAGGCTGTGTCAGGCTCTCCAGGGGTACAGGAGGACACAGATATAGGGGTGAAGTAACACAGGAGGTTATACGCATTAAAAGCACACAGATGACAACCTCTCTCATTATCTTGGAAAGGTACCAGGTCTTTGAACCCACCTGTCTGTCTGGTGATGGAGGGATACAGGATGCTGTTCACAGCCCCTTCACTGCAGCTGCACACACACCCTGCAACAAAGAGAGCTGGGGGAGGAGAGACTGAATGGAGGAGGGGGAATGAAGGAAGGGGGGAAGTGAGTGAAGGATGGATATGGTCACACAATGTAATACAAGCACTAATGGACCAGAGCACAAAATAAAAAAGGAGGAGGAGAGAAAATGGGACATCCAGACATATACAACAATGGGACCAGTAGAGGAAATGCCCATTATACAGGATGAATATTGTTAATATTTAGAAAGTGAAAACATTTTAAGCAGCTCTCACTCTACAAGAGCAGGAAAGCATAGGATTTTATGTAGTACGTTAAATCAGATTTAAATTAAAAAAAATGGTTGAGAGCCCTGCTTTTGCAATTTGCAACTGAGGAATCATATCCAGTTGAATCGTATAATAATAACACTCTCAGGCTTGCACATTTTATCATTCAAATACTGGCATCATAGATATTTAAATCACCAGCATCATTGATCAAAAGTGCTCATAGTAAATTCGATTTATGTTTATGTTAAGTGGAATATAAATCTTGCTTCCTTGTTTAATAATGTAACATAGTAAACAATACAGGGTTATTCGGTAAACCAGGAATTTGGGGCTCCAGGAAATGAATGTGAATGTTAAAGGGCATTCTTGCATTGACACCACCTTCGTGCCTATTTCATCAGGGTACCTAATAAAAACATGCTAGATTGAAAAAAAAAAATTCAAATTCCAGTCTAAACCCTTGCCTGTCCTGCGGTCACATTGGTTATATACATGTAGCCCTTTGATCAGGATAGTTGGCTCCATATTTCCTGGCAGCATGCCTTGACCAAAAAAAAAAAAAATACTTTACTCCTCCATTCTATTCTCCTTTAACTTTGAAACCATCAAAACAAGGAAGAGGAATATGGGACCGGACCGTGATTTAGGACAAGTGTGTTTGCATATGAATATAGGACAAGTGTGTTTGCATATGAATACGCAGCTGGTCCAGCATTTGTTGGTGTTTTTGAATGGCATGCTGTATTCATACAATTTTATGATTTCCACATGGGGCTCCAAGGCTTCCATCAAGAATCCTGAGCCCCCTTACAAACACAAGCTGACACTAATATTCGCACACATAGCTCTTCACATAGATACATACATATACACATACACAGATGCGCATTCCAGCTCATACATTCTCTTAAATGCACACACAGATACACACTGCCACATAGATACAGGAACAAATACACATTGCTACATAGATAAACACAAACACAGATACACACTGCCACACATATCTAATAGTGGAACTACAGTGCCACAAAATGATACACAGTGTCACACACAGATATACATTGCAAATGCAAACCGATATGCCCAGCCACACAAACATAGAGATATATACTGCCATGTACTCACAGGCACACACTGTCATACACATCTACCATATCCACATTGTAGTCAGGGACACATATAATTTTGTCATATTTATGAAAAAACATGAAAAGGGATGCCCTGCAATATGTATAATATTCTGCAGGATTCTTCATTGTCTGATTACTTAATCGTGTACACCTTCTTCTGAATTCTACATACTACAGGACTACCTTTTTCATGTGGCAACCATCAATATGAAACATGGTGTATATGGTAACATTACATATAAGGACTAGCACATACTGACCAATACCACCAACTGAGATCTGTTTAAGCCAGCCACCCTCTTCTTTACCTGCCTTTGTGCTGGAGGAAGGTGGCTTTCCTGTGGTCCAGTGGGGCAGTAAGCAACTCAAGGCAGCAGGCTGTGCAAAGCTTTTGCTTCCGTCCTTATTGCTCCAAGAAGATGTGAGCTTACATCACTTCCTCGGGAGGATTAGGGGGCCCGCTATGCCTCAAATCCTGAATGCGGTCCGACTGTTGGAGATATGTATATCTTCATAACTGCACTGACTAGCACAGGGGTAGGCAACAAGATTTTTAAGTCTCTATTTTTTTTAAAAGTGTGTATTGTAGCGGTTGGTACTGTGGCTGTCCTTAAAGACTATGAGAATCCTGCAATTTGTGTGTTGTTTCTGCTTTGTATTTCATTGTAAGTAGAATTCGTATGATTGTTCGGTAGTTTCCATCTGTATTTCATACGAATGGAAACTACCGAACTAATAGACCACCCCAGAGTGAAGTGTGTCCCTCGTTAAGCTGCAAATTGCTTGCTAACCGCAGACTAATAGGTGGTTTATATATGTATCTGGGTGGCCGCCATTCGGCATGCGAACACGTGGCGGCGGCCATCTTACGCACGAAAGGCTCAGCGGTGTTTGGTCGTCGAGTGTCTGGAACTCAAATTGGACACTCAATTACCCGAACACCTCTGACACCTCCAGAGCTCCGTAACTCCCGAACAGGAAGGCGAATCAGCCCCCTGTTCGGTAAGTTTAGAGTACCGAATGAGGGAAGTCATGCGAACGTAAATGTATTAGTGGATGACAGTTTTTTTGGCAGGGCCAAAACACATGGAACCCTTTTCGGATACCACCTCGTGTGCGGTTGGTCAAATTACACCCTCCACCTAACTTCCGAACCCCTGGTCTGATCTGGGTGAATTTTGGATATGTTGGTCACCCAGATCAGGGCTACCAGGGGGTACCCAAAGTATTGGTGTATCTGCTAATCTTGGGGTACATCCAGAACTTGGGGAAAACTATAACCTGTGTAATGGGATTAAGTGGCATACTAAGGGGAGGAGATGTGTGGGAGGGAACTGCTATCCCATTGGGTACTGTCTTAATGAATGTGAATCCCTCCCTTGCATGGGAGAAATGCTTAAAAGGAGGTTGTGTGGAATAAAAGTTAGTTCTGCTCCTGATGCTGTGTGTCGTCCAGTCATTGGGATCTGTATGGGGATATTCTTGGATTACCTTGCTTGCTGGAATTATTACTTTATGGGATTTTTCATCACTTGTTCCTGAGCCTCACTGGGATCTTAGTGGAGTTTACCTGTGAAATACCAGGCCTCCTCTACATGTATTAGTTTGTGGTATTGTGTATGATACATATGAATGTGGGCTGTGTATGGAGGCTGCTTGTGGAATTTTGTATGTGAATGATATGTCACATTGCGTGTTTGTTGGTGTGTGTATGTGTGGGGCGACTTCCGGTATTGCATGTGAGAGGCTGCTTGTGGGGTTGTTTGCATGTATGTGGATTGTCAATGGTGTTTGTGTGTGGGCTGTTTGTATTATTTGATTGAGTGAAGGCTTCTTCTCCAGCACTGTGTATAGCTAGCAGTGTGGGTGGGGGGTCCAGTGGAAACCGGACAGGCCAATGAGAGACCAAGGGCAAGAGCTGTGATAGCTTATGTGAGTTTCTCTACTCCAGTGTTGATCCCTGTTCACAAGTGGGGGGAGGAAGTGATCTGAGAATGATGGAATCCGTAAATTTAGGATTGTTCTCACCACCTGCAATCACCGCTCGGTTTGCAGTAGCAAATATCTGAGGTTCCTGTTTGTCGACCTTGGTTGTGCCATTTTGCGATTCTGTTCGGTAGATTGCATTCCCCTCCTATTCTAACATTGTCCCTATTAACACTTTGGAACGGTTCTCACCACAGTGTTCTAATTGTTTGTCTGGGTGGCCGCAATTCCTATGGACAACCGAGTTGGCACAGGGGACTCTGAGACACGTCAGACCCAGTCGCTTAAGCGTGACTTGGGGTCTCTCCAGAGCTCTTCCACTCGACCAGGTTGCAGCTCCCTCCTTCCAGGTAAGTATTGTGACCTCTCCCTATTCCTCTACTGTTTTTCTACTAGGCAGGTATCCATCTCTGCCTGCACCGTGATAGCTCCTGCTTTTACAAAGGCACTTGCGGCTCTCAGGCCTAGCTCTCTTGCACTTGTTCTGGGCAAGCTACAGGGACAATGCAGCCAGCCAACAGGTCCGAAGACTCTGTCACTGGGATCCCTGAACAAGTCCAAACAGGACACAAAGTTACAGAAGTATTTGGTTGCCCTAATTTGCATACCAGTATTATGTAATATTCCATTCAGCCAGCAGAGGGCGCTGCACAGTTTCAAGTAACGAATAGTTTGTATTTCAATTGCTACAATCATATGCCTTTCAGGGGCTCTTGGGACCAAGTCGATAATCTGTGCGCAAGAGGTTGGCCTTCAAGCCTTTCCAAAAGGCCATGGCATGGTAGCTTCTGTCACACAGCATAATAGTCAAACGCCAAGTCAAGCCAAAAGGAAGAAATTATTGTGGGAGGAAGAAATAAGGTTAGCAAAGAGCTTGGTTGCAAAATGTTGACTAGTATGAAGAGTCAATCAGTTTGAGGAAGGTAATGAAGGAATAATCCAATTATGTATTTGTCTCACCCACATTTTCCTTTAATATTTTTCCTGACCTTGTTCCGAACTCTCTGGCTTTAACTTGCTTTCTGTAATAAAGGCAACAAATCCTGCTCCATTTTCCTTAACATGGCCATACACGTACCCAGCACATTCCTGTAAATACAATAGTCTACCCACCCTTTGCCTTCACCTCCTCCGCTATCCCTTATTTCAATTGGTAAAAAGGTAAATGATATAGATATGTGGAATTACTCCTTCAGCATGCTCATACAAATATACCAGTAGATATGGAATGTTACCAAAAGCATCTGTGCATCAAACATGCATAGACTCAGGCACATTATGTCCTTGCAACTTCAATATAAAAAAATACTATTCTCTGTGCTTGTTTGTTTTTCTTTCTAACTCAGAAGTTACACAGCAGGTAAACAAGTTGAACCTTACTTCTATGCCCTTAGACATCCTTAGTGGACTGGCCCACCGGGATACCGGGAAATTTCCCGGTGGGCCAGAACACAAGCGGACCGGTGCGCGGCCGCCTAGTGCGCACCGGCCCACGGGCAGCACGGCGCAATTACAGGGTGACGGGCAGGAGGGGATGCACTGCAATGCATCTCTATGAGGAGATGTTGATTGGTGTGGTGAAGCACAGCATTTTGCCACAAATGCACAATGCTTTTCTATGGGAATTGAATTGGCATTGACTGAAATTTGTCCAGTTGTCAACCAAAGTGAAGAGTACACTCTTATTACTTAACCCCTTAAGGACAGAGCTTCAGAAGCTTGTCTTTCACTTAATGACAACAGCATTTTTTTCATTTTTTGCTGTTTGCGTTCAACTGCAATTTGCATTTTACTAATTTATTGCACCGACACATATTATATACCGTTTTTTAAAGGACAGAAAGGGCTTTAATTTGATGTAACAAATATATATATATATATATATATATATATATATATATATATATTCAAAAAATGGTGGCTGCACTCCTCCGGCTTCGTTTCAAATCCAATAAGTTTATTAGGTGTACATTAAAATCGAGATCAACGCTTCAGCCCTGTTATGGGCTTTCCTCAGGATCAAAAATTACATACAAATGTGCTATACACTGTAAACAGACTTATATACTATAAAAGAAAGAGGATAATTGATTAACTTACCCCAGCTGATGCAGAAGCCCGACCGGCGGTCTGCTGATCGTTGCGCGCATGCGTGCTATCACCCAATAGTTAACTCCCTGCGGCATGATGCTATACGCATCTCCATAATGATGAAGAAGCTTAGCCGTGTTGCTATAGGAGACAGCAGACGCCGTACGGGCTGCACACCAGAATGCCGATCGGAAAACTGATCGGCATATTGGGGTTATACAAAGAAAAGACATAATTAATAATTAATAGCCAGATGCATATCCACTTGATACACGAATAACACAAACATTCTAATAGCTTCCAAAGTGATGTGCACTGTGTACCATATAAGCCCAAGTATCATTACACTCAAATTGTAAATACTCTATAGTTTTAAAGTGGGATGCAGTATGAGGAATCACAATTTAATTGTAAAATATAAAGTGCTAAATACTAATAAAGTGCTTAATGTAAAGGTTTAGGTGCAAAGTGACTGTCCCTGCAGTCTCAGCAATGTAAATACTGCCTGTTCTGTGAAAAAAAAAGTATTTACATAGATCCCTAACGAAACTTCTAGTGGGTGTAAATCAGACAGCCACTAGAGGAACCTCTTATTACAGTCCAGCAATCTTTGCAAGACTGAGGCTCAGCATCTTTACACTTAACATGAAGACGCTGAAGCATCCACATAGAGATGCACTGGAAAAAATGCATCTCTATCACTAGATGTGATTGCTGCTCTACCTCTCTGTGGAGAAGCACTGGAATGGCTGAGGTCATCAATAATGATGATCTTAGCAAGAGGCAGACAGGCCTAAAGGTGCATGCAAGTAACAACACATGCATCACCGGTGATGCTCAAGATAGGTAATTCCACCCGCAATGGCTGCCCAAAAAAGGGGAGTGTCATCCTTGTGTTAATTCAAGCCAAGCTGACAACCTCCCTGACTGGCCCTGCTCATCTCAGACTGCGCAGAGAGCACTGCTGAAGCTTTCTCTACATGGTCCCAGTGCACTCAGCATAGTGTAAGTGCACCCAATCAAATGCTTGCATTGTTTTTGTTGCAGACAAGTCAGTATGGTTGCCACAAATCCAGGACTGTGTGTATTCGCATAGAAATCTATTTTGTCTGTGGATTACAGGGGTTTATCCCAGAGTGCGTTTGGGAAAGGTCCTGCACCGGAATTTAAAGGGACACTATAGTCACCCAGACCACTTTAGCTCAATGAAGTGGTCTGGCTGCCAGGTCCCCCAGGTTTTAACCCTTCAGATGTAAACATAGCAGTTTCAAAGAAACTGCTATGTTTACATTGCAGGGTTAATCCAACCTCTAGTGGCCGTCTTCCTGACAGACGCTAGAGGTGCTTCTGCGATACTGGATTTGAAAATCGCATTCAGCGTGCAGAACGTCTATAGGAAAGCATTAAGAAATGCTTTCCTATGGACTGTTTGAATGCGCGTGCGGCTCAGGAGCCAACGTTGGAGTGGGAGGAGAGGTCACCAGCGCTGGTTTAAAGTAAGTAACTGTAGTGGTTTTAACCCCTTCAGCGCAAAGGGAGGGGGGCCCTGAGGGTCAGGGGGACCTAAGGGCTGTATAGTGTCAGGAAAGCGAGTTTGTTTTCCTGACACTATAGTGATCCTTTTACCTCACTTATTATACAGGACCTTTTAATTTTCCTGTTATTTAATATATTATCACTTGGAGTGGCGGCATCGTTTGTGGATGGATCTCACTACTCATTAACACTTTTTCTGTTCTATGTGTGAATATGTAGGTGAATTTGTGCAACTTGGCAGTGTTTGAACATAGTGGTGAAATTGAGTATATCATATCCCCGCCCCTGTATGCTCTGGACACTGTGCAAAAGCGTAAGTTTAAGTAACAGGAACTCCACAGCCTGATGGGCTCCCTGAATTTTATTGGACCAGTTGGGGAGCTCTCTGAACTTCCAGGCTGGTTTTGCACTGCTCAACCACGCATTAGCTCCAAAAGGCTTGGGTCTTTGGTTTATAATCAATTAGTCCAGAAACAGGACACCAGGAAACAAAGTTGGATGGTGAGACAGAAGCCCAGAACCAGGACTGTTCCACAAGATCTGGGACTGTTGAGAGGCATGTTTTTTGACACTTTGGAAAGGTGTGAAAAATCACTTTTATGAATTTACAAAATAGAAATCAAGAACGGTTTAACCCCTTAAGTTAATAATGCACCCAGGGGCCTAGGTTTCACCATAACAACTTATCTTAGATAAGGGTTAGTGGTTGGAGTAGGGTTATGGTAGGGGTAGGGTAACCCTAACCCTATTCCTAACCCTACACCTACTCCTAACCCTAACCTTGCTCCTAACCCAACACTACCATAACCCTACCCTTACCTTACCTGTAACCCTAACCCTATCTAACCCTACCATAACCCCACGCATTACCTAACCCTAACCCTAAACCAACCCTAACACTACACATAACCCTCAAATTAACCTTATCCCTACCCTAACCCTACCTTTAACCCTACCCCTAACACTACCTCTACCTCTAACCCTACCTCTAACTGTACCCCTACCCTTAACTCTACCCTAACCTTACCGCTAACCCTACTCCTAACCATACCCTACCGTAGCCCAACCACTAACCCTACCCCTTCCCCTAATCCTACCCATAACCCTACCTCTAACCCTACCCGTAACCCTAACCTTACACTGACCTGAAGTCTTACCTGAAGTGCCAAACCGAAGTTCCGAAGAGCTGAAGTCACGAATTTCGGAATACTGAACCGAATATTTTTCCCATGCACATCCCTAGCCTCCATGGATTGGATTTATTCTTCTAGCACATCCCACAGATGCTCAAGCAGATTGAGAGTGTGGGAATTCAGAGGCCAAGGCAACACCTTGAGCTATTTGTCATGCTCCTCAAACCATTCCTGAACATTTCTGCAGTATGGAATTTTGTGTTCTACTGCTAAAAGAGTCCACAGCCATCAGGGAACACAATTGCCATGAAGGGGTGCACGTGGTCTGCAACAATCTCTAGATGGGTGGTACGTGTCAAAGTAACATCCACATGAAATGCTAGGATTCCAAGGTTTCCCATTGCCCAGAGCATAACATTGCCTCCACCAGCCTACCTTCTTCTCATAGTGCATCCTGCTGCCATCTCTTTCCCAGGTAAACGATGCACATGCATCTGGCCATCTGATCGAATGCATCCGGCCATCTGCTTACATCCCCATTGAAGGCCCTTTTTTTTCGGTGGACAGAGGTCATCATGGGCACTCTGACCAGTCTGCGGCTATGCAGCCCAATACGCAGAAAACTGTGATGCAGATGCGTGTTCTGACACCTTTTTTTTATCATGGCTAGCATTAAAGGACCACTCTAGGCACCCAGACCACTTCAGCTTAATGAAGTGGTCTGGGTGCCAGGTCCAGCTAGGGTTAACCCATTTTTTTATAAACATAGCAGTTTCAGAGAAACTGCTATGTTTATTAATGGGTTAAGCCTTCACCCCAAAGCCTCTAGTGGCTGTCTCATTGACAGCCACTAGAGGCGCTTGCGTGCAGGGCCGGTGCAAAGAATTTTGGGTACATAGGCGAAGATGCATTTTTCCGACCCCCCAAAAACATCTTCACCCATGTGCCTCTTAACCTCCCTTTTGTGTTTCTTATCCCGTCTTTTAAATATCTGACTCCCTTTAGTGTATTTTACCTCCTATTTTTGTCTTTGTGTCTCCTATCTCTCCTCTTTGTATGATTCTTACGTCCTCCCACATTTTGTGTCTTACTCCTCCCAGCCCCTTTGTGTGACTCCTTTTCTCCCAGACCATTTGTGTCTTTTATTCTTCCCAGCTCCTTTGTGTGTGTCTCTTTCCTTCTCAAGCCCCGCTGTGTGTTTCTTTCACATCCAGCCTCTCTCCCCGTCCCTTAATGGTCCCCCCCTTCTCTGACCCTTACTGTTCCTTTCCCTTCCACCCTCCTATCCCTGTCCCTTAGTGTTCCTCTTCCCTCCCCCATCTGTTCCCTGTCGCTTAGTGTTCCTCTTCCCCCCTCCCTCCTTTCCCTGTACCTTAGGGTATCTCTCCCCTCCTCTCCCTGTCCCTTGGTGCGCCACCCACCCCCATAGTGGTCCCCTCCCCTTCCTGGTGTGCCTCCTACCTTTCTTGTAGCGTGGCTGAGCGGAGCGAATCCTGGTACAGTGAGCCTTTCCTGTCAGTCCTGCTAGGTACAGGAAACAGAAGTTCCTGTACCACGGTACACTCCGCTTGGCCACGCTACAGTCAGGGGTGTAGAAACACTGACAGTCACACACACTCAATGACAAACACACAGACATCTCTGACAGCCAGACTCACTTATCTGACACACTCATTAATTGACAGACACTCACACGCACACTGACAGACACAAACACTGACAGACTCATTGAAAAACACACACTGACACACACACAAACTCACAGACACTGACAGACACACGTACTCACATGCACATACTGACAGACACACTCACTCACTCACACACACTGACTGACACACATACTCATACACACACTGACAGACACACATACTCACACACACACTGACAGACACACTCACTCACACACACACTGACAGACACACTCACTCACTCACACACTGACAGACACACATACTCACATACACACACACACACACACACACTGACAGACACACTCACTCACACACTGACAGACACACATACTCACATACACACACAGTAATTAATAATCTAAATTAAATTAACATTTCCCACCCACCTACCTGGAGAGCTGGCGTGGGTCTCTCATTGGTGGTCCAGTGGGGCTGCTGGGAGGCGTGCGGCTGAATTGGATTCCGAGGTGGCGAGGGAGCTCTGATCTCTCTGATGTGCTCCCTCGCAGGCTGTTTACTGATGCCGCGGGAGCCGGAATATGACGTCATCGGTAAGCAGCCTGCGAGGGAGCAGATCAGAGAGATCAGAGCTCCCTCGCCACCTCGGAATACAGTTCAGCCGCACGCCGCGCCGGGGATCCAGGAGGTGACCTGGCAGGAGGGAGCACTTCCCTCCTGCCGGTCACTGGAATTTTGCGCCCCCAGAGCCGGTGCGCCCTAAGGCGGCCGCCTGTGCCGCCTTATGGACGCGCCGGCCCTGCTTGCGTGCTTCTCACTGTGATTTTCACAGTGAGAGCACGCAAGCGTCCATAGGAAAGCATTGTAAATGCTTTCCTATGCGACTGGCTGAATGCGCGCGCAGCTCTTGCCGCGCGTGCGCATTCAGCCAAGGAGGAGCGGAGGAGGAGAGAAGGAGGAGAGCTCCCCGGCCAGCGCTGGAAAACGGTAAGTTTAAACCCCTTTCCCCCTTCCAGAGCCGGGCGGGAGGGGGACCCTGAGGGTGGGGGCACCCTCAGGGCACTATATTGCCAGGAAAACGAGTATGTTTTCCTGGCACTATAGTGGTCCTTTAAAGGAACTCTCCAGTGCCAGGAAAACAAACCAGTTTTCCTGGCACTGCTGGATTCCCTTCCTCCTGCCCCCCATCCCATGATGCTGAAAGGGTTTAAACCCCTTCAGCTGTTTACCTGAATCCAGCGCCGATGTCCCTCGGCCCTGGCCAGACTCCGTCTGCTCTCCTCCCCTGCCGACGTCAGCCGGCGGGGGAGACCTAACGCGCATGTGCGGCAATGTCTGCGTGTGCATTAGACCTCCCCATAGGAAAGCATTGTTCAATGCATTCCTATAGGGAAAATCTGATGCTGTAGGTCTGTGACGTAACCGAGCAAACCGACCGACCAAAATTCGGTTTGGATTCCAGAAGCCCTCTTGTGGATGTCTAATAGACAGCCACAGAGGGCAGACTTAGAGCTGCAGTGTAAACATTGCAGTTCTCTGGAACTGCACAGTTTTACATTGCAGCACTAAGTGCAATAGGGGAACAGCATCCAGACCACTTCAATTAACTTAAGTGGTCTGGGTGCCTGGAGTGACCCTTTAGCCCCTTAACCCCTTAAGGACCAAACTTCTGGAATAAAAGGGAATCATGACATGTCACACATGTCATGTGTCCTTAAGGGGTTAAAGCACCACTATAGGCACCCAGACCACTTCAGCTTAATGAAGTGGTCTGGGTTCCAGGTCCAGCAAGGGTTAACACTTTTTCTTTTATAAACATAGCAGTTTCAGAGAAACTGCTATGTTTATATTAGGGTTAATCCAGCCTCCAGTGACTGTCTCTTGACAGCCGCTAGAGGTGCTTGCGTGCTTCTCACTGTGATTTTCACAGTGAGAAGACGCCAGCGTCCACAGCAAAGCATTGTGAATGCTTTCCTATGGACTGGCTGAATGTGCGCGTGGCTCTTGCCTCACATGCGCATTCAGCTGGTGACGGAAGAAGAGGGAGGAGAGGAGGAGGAGAGCTCCCCGCCCGGCGCTGGAGAAAGAGGTAAGTTTAACCCCTTCTTCTCCCCGGAGCCTGGCGGGAGGTGGTCCCTGAGGGTGGGGGCACCCTCAGGGCACTATAGTGCCAGGAAAACTAGTATGTTTTCCTGGCACTATAGTGGTCCTTTAAGGACACTTCTTTTATTCTAGAAGTTTGGTCCTTAAGGGGTTAAGTTTTTCAGCAATTTGAACTACAGTAGCTATTTTGTGCAGACAGACTAGACTTTGCTCCTTACGTGCATCAATGAGCCTTCGGTGCCCATGACCCTGATGCTGGTTCACTAATTGTCCTTCTTTGCACCACTTTTGGTAGGTACTAACCACTGGAAACCAGGAGCACCCCACAAAACCATTTTACCATTTTGGAGATGTTCTGACACAGTTGTACAGCCATCACTATTTGGCCTTAGTGAAAGTCACTCAGATCTTTTTGCTTGCCTATTTTTACTGCTTTCTAACAATGAAATTCAAAAGCTGACTGTTCACTTGCTGCCTAATATATCCCACCCCTTGACGGGTGGCATTGCAACAATGTAATCAATGTTATTCACTTCACCTATCAGTGGTGTTAATATTGTGGGTGATCAGTGTATAGTGTCTGTATAGATAATATTATGGGAAAATTAATTTCCAATCACTTTCTTCGTCACATACATGTGGACAGATTGTAACCATTTTTTATCAGAGGAAGAAAAAATTACAATAATATTATTAATAATATTATATAATAAGAAGTTTTCTCTATTCGTGTTCTGGCTCCCTTTTTCTCCTTCAGGTATCTCTCTTTCTCTTCGCACCCTCCCTCATTTAAGTGTTCCAAGGTAAAATTCCTTACCCTACCACCCCCATCTTACATATCAATTTCTCTGAGTCAATGATTCAGGGATCCAGTCAGGACTTGTATCAGCACTACCTTGTGTAGTACAAAGAGACAGAGAAGGGATAGCCGTTCCAGTATACAAAATACAGAGTGAAGAGTCTCCAACAAGATAAACTGTCAGCACAGAAATCATAGGACAAATAAATAGGACTGCATCTAAAAAACACCAAAAATCTTAATGAAAACAAAGAAAGATACAGAGAAAGACAGCAAGTAGAGTGGAACAGCACCAGAGACAGCTAACAGTACCATGTACAACGAGATACAGGTGAGTCAGCTAATTTGAAATATTTACTGATTCTCGCTATAAGATGAAGCATAGAGGACTCCAAGTCAACTTACCTGGGGGCCCAGTAATTTCTCCCATGGTAGTCGTAGAACTATACTACCACACTTGCGCACACACACACACAGGCCATACTCACAGACATAAACATTCAGAAACACACTCATATCCATACAGCTATGTATTTCAATACACACACTCCGCTACACACCCACATATACATACCCATCTACACATGCACATACACTCAACTACAGACTCCCATATATAAACACTACCATACATACAGACAGATACACACACTTGCAGACTGCAAAATCCCTCAATTTAAGTAATAAAGCTGTAGCAGTCTGGGCAATCAAATATTGCTCCCCAGCCAGTCTCCAGACACATTAAGTAAAGGCCCACTGATGGCCCCCATAACAAACGAAGCCAGTATTAATCTGAGATATAGAGAGGTATCAATCCATGGATGTGGGTCATGTGGAAATATTTAAGGAGGTGGAAATGTGAGACTAGACATGTGCAATTTGTTTCGGGCCGAATATGAATTCGGACGAATTTCAGGCAATTCGGACATTCGGTTACTTCCGAATAGCCGAAGTTCCGAAATTACCAAATTTCTGAAATGATGAATTGCCGAAGGTCCGAAGCACAGTATTGCCTAAGTATTAATATACTTACCCACTGGAAGAAGAAGAATGTTACATTGTATACAATTTTAAATAAAAAGTATACAAACGTAGCCAGGATTCAGCTGTAAGCATTTGCAACACTTACAACAATCAAGTAACATACATTTATATAAAATGTAAGTTACTTAGCCAGTCATGTAATGACAGGAATGAATAAGTAGATAACTCCCTAATTCCCACGGTATTAGGGAGCTATCTACTAAAAGGCTGAAAGACCTAAATTGGTCTTTTAGCCAAATTTACTAATACTAAGTACAGATTACTTAGTATTAGTAAATTATGCCCCTACTCGCTATACCGCGAGTAGGGGCATGTCTATTAAACAGTGAGCAGCCTGAGGCTGCTCACTGTTTAAAAAAAAAAAAAAAAAAAAAGTCCAGAATTGACTCAGTAACTCATTCTGCAGTATTATATGCAAAATATAAAATATATATTTTCAACAAGATAAAATGTTGATAAAATACTACAATTGATTTGAGAATCCTCCCCATCATTTTCTCTTCTATAGTAAAGCATGAAAGGGAAGAGATGTGTGCCTTAACTGACATGTATCTCCTCTGATTAACTCCCAAGAGATCTTGTCTTCAAGTCCAATTAACAATAATAGATGACTTCATAACTCAATGATCTCTAAAATTAGATAATCAATGTGATGGAGCTCCTGTACCTAGGCCGAGTACCTCCACCAGATCAGTTAAATCGGTGCTATCGGGAGGATCTGACATGCTATGGATCCATCCCATTGCAGTCTCTCTGATGAGAGAACTTTGGTCATGCTATCAGTGGAGTCGATATTATTCTTCTAATCCTAACGCAGTATTCACAGAAAAGAGTATAACTGTTTCCCCCAAAGCATTAGCAAAGACTTAATGTAGGGGTAAAACGGAACTCCTTTATTGCACTCACATAATATGTTTATACTCCCTAGATGTAGATACCCCATGCTAGTGATGATAGATACAATACAGTATAACACAATCCAATCCCCTCCCTGGCACCACTCTATTATATGATCAGTCCAGAGTTAATGATATTTCCCTTCTGCTGTGTCATCTCCAGGCAGGGTGTCAGAGAATCTGAGCTCCAAAACTTTCTTTCCCAACACAGTATCCCCACAAACCATACATCTCTCTCTCTCAGCGATGCACTGTCCAAAAAGCGGCAGATCGTGGACAGAGGGTCCTGTGACAGGGTCTATAGTCTGTGAGGAGGAGGCTGGCCTCCAAGCCCCTCCATGAGTTAGGGGCACTCGGGCTTCCGTCACAGTCACACATCATGAAGCATTGAGAGTATACTCTGCTACAAATATCAGTGCTTAATTAGTTTTGGAACATTGGGGATGAGGACTATCTTCTAAAAATAAAAACATGTATATTAGTGAAATCGGGGTTTTGGGGGTTCAAGTTGTTGTTTTTTTTTTTTTTACTTCTTCAGGGTATTCCCCTGGATCAACATTAATAAAAACATCAGGAAAGGTGAATGGCCAAGAAAAGGGTGAAAAATCAAGTTGAGAGTATAGAAGAAAAATAGAATGTATTAGAGAGGGGCAGATTTGGGGAGAAAGAGAAGAAAAACAGACAGCAGAGACATAAGGTAGAAAGAGAGAAAAAAACTGAGAATAGAAACACAGCATACAATTCAAATTTATTAAAGAGTGAAGAGGGTGTGGGTGTACTGTTTGAAAAGTAGCTTTAATTTAAAAACACCCATCTGAAATTGTGGCAGTTTGGAAATAAAATGTTTGGTGTAAATAAATCAATTATTACGTTTTGTATATTTCTTTTTAACAGACTGAATTAATAGAATTAGTATACTAATTATTATTTATGTTTCTGTTCTATTTTGTACTTTTCTTTATCTCCCTCTCATGCTGTCGTTTATTGTCTCCTATTAATGCCTTTCTCTGTGCCTTCAATCTTTTGCCCTTTACACAAACCCTCTTTAGCTATTTTTTTCTTGGCCTTTCCTGCTTCTACTGTCTCTGCCTGTTACTACTATAGGACCCACGGCTTTACCCACTGAGAACAAAACACAGTCACTGGAAAACAACGGCACTGATCTGAATAGTAAAAATTCCAGCTCTCTGACCACCATTGCCCCAACATTGATAAACAATCAGTCTTCTGCTCCTCTGTTCACCAAGGTCACACAAGGTCACAAAAGTACAAGAGAGCACATTCGTTACATAACGGGTGGAACTGGTGATGATTACTATGAAGATGACAATGAAGAAACAATACCTCCCATCCCACCGAACATCATTCTTGAGCCTTGCCCATATGATCGCTGCAAACACTTGGAAACTCCATGTGAGGAAACACAAAGGAGGGCACAAGGTAGATGTCTTTGTCCTGGGATAAATGGACCAACAATCCGTCCAAGTAGGCCTCATCTGACTCAAATAATCCCTGGGGAAAGATATATTAACATGAGCTGGTGCTCTCCTCTGTCCACTGTCCATGGTTATAAGGTACTTTATGGTCCTCCTACAGGCTTGTTGGAGAGAGGGCCTGTTCTTAATGACTCGTTTCGATTTTGCATCATAGAGGGACTCCTACCAAATACCCCTTATCGAGTTTGCATATTGGCTTTTAATGACGCAGGAGAAAGTCCTGTTGAAGAGGGAAATTTAGAATTGGACTCTGAAACAACCGTGTCCTGCAGATTTATTCATACAACATCATCCAAGGAGTTATATATTTATGTTGGGGTGGGACTGGCTGCCCTAGCAGGGTTGGTAGGGCTAGTCGTTCTTGGGTACTGCTTGTACAAGAAGAGAAAGAGCAACAAAGAAACTAATTGGGAAGACATGGTATTACCAGACCAGTTATATAGGGGGCACAGTGTTGAGCAGTTGTAAAATTGATTTATCACCATCTATGGAAGTGTGCTTGGTGTAGTGATGGGGGTGCTGAATGAAGCATGATATATGTGCAAGAAGAAAATGTGCATGGTAGTGGGTGGATGGCTACTGAAAGAAGCTGGGTTCCTCAGAAATATTAGGTCCCAGTTTTGAAGAAGTAAAGATATTTTTGAAAGTTGTAAAAAAGCATCCACTTAAAAAATAAGCATTGCTCCCTCTCTCAGAAAGTATACTGCCCCTGTTTTTTCTCCATCCACAAATTATTTTCCTTATCTCTTAGAAATCTCTCCCATAATCCTCTTCTCATTCCTGGCCATCTTAGTAAGGAAAGATGTAGTCAATGGATGTACTCTTGGACAGACTTCTATCATAATTACCCTAGTGGTGCCAAAATGAATCCTGTTTTATGACATGCTAGTTAGCCGGGCTGTGAGAGACCACCGAGTTCCAAGTGGTGCTCACTGTACATAACAATTCAAGGATAATGGCAGCAGGACTTTTTCACGTGTGCTGGCTTCTTTGTCCAGCCCACTTTTAAAAAGCATGTTGGAGACAAAATTATAATGTGTCCAACTATTTATGATGACTTAATTAGTATATTTAATTATAAATATGTAACTGTGGATCTAGTATATCTTTGTTTATAAGTTGATGAATGTGTATAATGGTAATTGCATATGTGAAATTGTGAATACTATATGTAATTAGGTATTGCAGTATAGGTGATTCAGGAAATACATTATCGCGTGAATCGACTGACGAAGTCATTTATCAAAGTGAGATTTCAAAGTTAATTTACAATTAGGTCAAAATAGCCGAAAAATGATCTAGTTAACTATGCTTTCAATTTGGCTACAATGGCCTTAGATTTAAAATTCACTTTGAATTCTCACTTTAGTGATTAACCTGTCTTTATATGGTAACGACATTCTAACAAAGCAAGCATTAGCTGGGGAGCAAAACCAGGCTGGAGGTAACGCTGAATTCTGGAAAATATTACTGTATTAAGCCCTAAAACACATCTTTTGAGTTCCAAAATATTTAACTCACTTATGAATAAGCACTCTCAAATGTGAAACATATTACAGGCGTTCTGGTTTCCCACTAACGATCTTTGAACTTATAGACCACCAGGAAACAGAACGTCCACGAGAAGGTGAACCTGAGTTCCAGTGGCAACAAATTCTTTACTATTTAGTGCCTATACTCGGTATAATATGTACTAAAACCAATAAAAGCAATTGAGCACAGCTAATATAATTACCACGAGAAGTAGAAACTGAGAATAATACATCATCAATGACTTAGAAGGTGTGAGCCTAGATTAATGCGCTACTCCTCTGCGAGCACTATACATGTTATGTGGCAGATGGTGAAAGCCAGGATGAAAGACACTTTGACAGTAGGGACAAAATAAATTTTCATATTGCAGAAAAACACAAATAGCCTCTGCCATCAAATGACACTGGAACAAAAAAAAGTATCTGGAAAAAATAGCATACTCCCTGAGGCTTTAATACACACCTGAAGCCGTGGGACACATGTATCTTTTCACTAACGTAAACTGGTCATTTAGTTGCTGCACAACTATCTACTAAACAGCAATTGCAATATGTTAGGCCTGCTGGGATTGAGTTCAGGTCACTTCCAACAAGCTTGCTGATAGCCATGTGGGGAGGCAGGAGCAGACACACACACAGTGGGGAGAGAAGCCTGGTACCTCAGACATCCATCAGCCTTGGCCAGCCAGCTCCCACTGGACGCCATCAAAGCCACCTTCATGCACCCAAAATGTAAGGAAACAGAAGAGTGGCTAAAACTGTTCATTTTTGGTTATATTTGTGTGTCTGTGTGTATGTGTACCTATGTCTGTGTGTATCTAATGTGTGCACATTGTCAGTGTGTGCATGTATCTGTGTGTATTTGTTTATGTGTAAGTGTATATGTGTACCTTTGCAAATCTGTGTGTATGCGTACTTATGTGATTGTGTGATGCATATTTATGTCAGTGTGCATACATCCCAGCATCAAACACCAACACTGCACATAAATATGCCCCTGTATTCAAATGCCAACACTGTACACAAATACACATCTGCATTCAAACACCAATAATGCACACAAACACATCCCTGCATTCAGACATCCACATTACAAATAAATACACCCCCTGCATTCAAAGACAAACACAGGCCTGCATGCACACAAATACACCCTGCATTCAAACACACAAATACACAACTGCATTAAAATGGCGTCAGTACAGACAAACACACAGCATCATTCAAATGCCAAGACTACACACACATACACATTTTTATTGTTGTAATAAAGTAATACATTACATTTATGACATTATTTGAAGTTGTTATTTGTGCTTTCTGGTTGGTGCATGTGTGTATATAAGTTTTATGCATTTGACCCTCCATACCTACTTCAGTGGACAATTTGGCCCTTCAGAACAAATGAGTTTGACCTTGCCTAGATTGAGTTAGTCCCATCCTTCCCTTCTCCCGTCTCCACGCATGGTCTGTGCAGGAAAGTTGGCAAAGTTTTGTTTGAGGGTGGTTGATGGGAGGATGGAGGGTTGATGGTAGGAGGGCGAGGGGCCTTTTTGGGCATAAAAACTTGTCAATCGGTCCAATAGTTGCTTTCTTGCTTGGGATCCTTGTCTTCATTTTCAACCCTAACAGGTATTCAGTTGTTTGTGGTTTGAGTCAAGAACAGTGATAGTTTAGATCTTTGTTAGCTTGGAACTGTTTTGAGATGGAATTGTGCAGTATATTCTGGTCTGACAGACAGATGAAACTTTAGAATGTATTGTGCTATTATAAGTCCAAGAAAAATTACTAGCTATCATTGTTTATGTTGACAGGATGCTATCCATGTAATATAATAAAGCTGTGCTAATTTTATCTCAATCGGGTGTTGTGTTTGAAATGTGGTTGGATGGCATACACGATTTGGTGAAATGAACTCGTTATTATTTGGTGTTATAGCCATCATATAATGTAATTTGCAAAAGAGAAGAAGGTTGAAGCACTCCAACATATTAAAAAGGCAAATTTATCGTAGCTCAAACTTCCAGGAGCTGGAAAATTTCCACCAAAATGGTCTTTTCCTTGAAAAAAACAAACAAAGCATTTTGGTTGAAATGTTGCTGCTGAACATGGGTTCCAATACATTTGCCTTTTTCATATCTTAGAGTGCCTGACTTGTCTTCTCTTTTGCAAACTGTATCTAAGGAATGGTGATGGTTCTTTGTTCAGTTGCTCCCAAGTCTCTCTAGATGGATGAGTGCAGTTCCTGGTTTGGCTTTCGGAAAATCCTATAATGTAAGGCATACCTGCCAGGAGGCTTCTACCCACAGTTTAACAGTATGGACAACAGTACATGTAAAATCTTTCTCAGGCCCATTTAGTAATAAACATGCAACATTTGCTTTAGATAATTCTTCAAGATAATTTATTGCAAAATATTAAAATATTGCTCATTTTTTGTGTTTCTCAGATCTTTGTAGACCTGCTCTGACTAACTGTAATGTGCAGTTTTCTTATTTTTAAATGGACACTGTAGGCATCAAAACAACTTTTACTTTATGAAGACGTTTTTATGTATAGACCATGACCCTGCAGCTTTACTGCTCAATCCTCTGCCATGTAGGAGTTAATTCACTTTTGTTTCTGTTCACACAGCCGTAGCCAAACCTCCCCTGGCTGTGACTCACAAAGTCTGCATGTCAAAAATGGTTTTATTCTAAATCAGATGTTAAAGGGACACTACTGTCATCAGAACCACTACAGCTTAATGTAGTGGTTCTGGTATCTATAGCATGTCTCTGCAGTCTGAGTATAGGAAACGCTGCCTTTTCATAGAAAAGGCAGAATTTACATTGCTGCCTAGGAACATGTCTAGTGGCAATTACTCACACAGTGTGCAGCACGGAGATGCTGAATGTTCACCATAGAGAAGCATTGATTCAATGCATGTTTACATGGAAATGGTGATTGACACAGCACAGCTGGAGGAGCCAGAATCCTGTACCTGAAGCACCCTCCACTGGTGTGTGAGGAGAGAGAGGAGTAAATAAAAGGTAAGTTACAATAATTTATGAGGCTCCCAGAGGCTTTTTACATTGAAGGGGTAATAATAGAATGGGTGGCAACCAGGTGTATGTTTACTGTGATAGAAAAATAAGAAAAGGGTCAGTGCTAATAAAACTGAAGTAAGGTAGGCAACGGCCCAACAGAAGGTAACCCTCAAACCTTCTGAGGAGAGAACGTAACACAAAGAAATACAGGAAAAGAGCTGCGCCAATTGTTAAAAGGTACAATAGTTTGTCTGAATAGGTAGGGCAATATAACGTAGTTGGTCTTACTAATATGGTAGGACTAAAGTTCTGATGGAGTAACTGAAGGTAAAGTCCGATAATATTTAGGTCTCACTCAGAAGTAAGTATCTTTATAAGGTGCCTTTTTTGGGGTGTAGAGTCCTCCATGTCCCTAGTCGTTCAACCATCCCACTTTTATGCAAGACAAAAACTAAGAGACCCAATGGTGCAGTTTATAAAAGCCAATATGGGTAAAATAAACAAATATGTGCAGGCGTACAGTGGTATAATCCCTGCTTTAAAAGATATGTGATGGGAGTTCTCCAGAGGGATGGTATCCAACACTCAGGAGAGGGATATATAAAATACAGTCAATAGTGCTCTCAGTAGAATAAAATATGCAGTAAACATAAATAAAAATGTACTCACAAGTGAAGTGCAGGAAAACTGCGTTGGTGGCATGATCCCCACCTCGGATATACTTGGAGTCACACAAAGGTAAAAGGAAGCCAGGTAAAAGATTCCAAATAAAAAAGTGTATTAAAAAGATGATTGGTACAAAATTGTATAAATAAAAATACACAATCAAAATAACCATAATAAAAATAATAATAATACACCGTTTCACCATTAGGGTGTTATCAAATGGGTTAGCCATAAAACATTT